AGAAACAGACTTACCTGATGTTGTTTTGCACGTATGTCTTGCTTGTTAGTGTGCTGAAGAGGGAATGATTTGAAATGATGAAGTCTGGGCTTATATATACAGTAAATGGTGCCAGTGTCAGAGTAAATGTAACTCTGTGAGCTGATGAGTGTTAGAGAAGAGTAAAAATGTTGACATGACTGACATCCAAAGTTGCAGTGTGTGTTTTCATTAGGAAGGGATTGTTTGATTTAAGAAAACAATGTGCTTCAGTGAGTAGCATGCAGTCAAGTGTGACTGACCGTGTTCACCACACAAGCTGAGGTGTGAAACTACAGGTTAGAGTGTTGGTAGATGAGGGGGAGATAAGTGAACTAATCATGGAAGCTTAAACCCATCCTTTACCAGCACAGGCTAGTGCTAACGCTAGAAATATAGTCAGCACATGGCAAGTACTAGGAAAGAGTAGGAAATGACACGAAAACATCATTATAAGTAATTGGAATGGGGAATGAAAAGTGAAGCGTAATAGCAGTCTGATCACCATTCCTCTACCAGCACAGGCTAGTGCTAATTGTTGTGCACAAACCAGCACATAGCAAGTGCTCGGAGAGGAAAGAATGAATCTCTGTAGTAATTAGTGTTGATCTAGGTGATTTTGCGATGCTCTCCTCTACCAGCACAGGCTAGTGCTAATGATTATTAGCGAACCAGCACGTAGCGTGTATTGGGAAAGGAAATGCAGCATTTAGGAAGCTAGCCGACAGCGGCATGAAGATGAAACCAGCTCTCTGCAAGCACAGGCTAGTGCTACTGATGATTCACACAACAGCACGTAGCAAGTACTAGGAAAGAGTCAGGCAGATGTTTGATGGTCACCGTGATGTGGCCTGAAAGGAAAAAGCAAGTTAAATGTTCTGAATTGAAGAGTGGACACCATTCCTATACCAGCACAGGCTAGTGCTAATTCATTGGTTGTAAACCAGCACATAGCATGTATTGGGAAAGGTAATGCAGCACAGATCATGTCGGATTAGATAGAGGAGCTTTAGTGGGGCTGACAGCAATATGAAGATGAAACCAGCTCTCTACAAGCACAGGCTAGTGCTACTGGTGATGTACACAACAGCACATAGCAAGTACTAGGAAAGAGCCAGGCAAATCTATGGTTGACTTTGCTAAAATCAGGAAAGGTCAAGGAGATTGTTGATTGAAGAATGGACCCCAGTCCTGTACCAGCACAGGCTAGTGCTAATTGTTAATTGCAAATCAGCACATAGCAAGTACTTGGAAAGGAAAGCAAGAATAATAACCTTGGTTGGATTTTGGGAGATTCATGTTTGTTAGAGTGTACGAGGAGAGCATAATAGAAATGTGTTCAGAAACAGACTTACCTGATGTTGTTTTGCACGTATGTCTTGCTTGTTAGTGTGCTGAAGAGGGAATGATTTGAAATGATGAAGTCTGGGCTTATATATACAGTAAATGGTGCCAGTGTCAGAGTAAATGTAATTCTGTGAGCTGATGAGTGTTAGAGAAGAGTAAAAATGTTGACATGACTGACATCCAAAGTTGCAGTGTGTGTTTTCATTAGGAAGGGATTGTTTGATTTAAGAAAAACAATTTGCTTCAAATGAAGTATATCCAGTCATTGTGACTGACCGTGTCTTTTAACACAAGTTTAAATCTGTAGGTGTGAAGCTAAAGATAGTGCTACCATATTGTGTTGGTATATATAGGGGAGATAAGTGAACTAATCATGGAAGCTTAAACCCATCGTTTACCAGCACAGGCTAGTGCTAACGCTAGAAATATAGTCAGCACATGGCAAGTACTATAAAAGACATATGTACCAGGAGGAGAGTAGAGTGGTGTCAATTGTTTATCTCAGTTTGGTTCATAATTTGTATTTGGGAAAGAATATACCATTCATAAAGATCCATATGATGGAAAACAAGACTTTTGTTTGATAAATGTTGATGATGGAGTCAAGCACTGAATTCAATCCTCTACTGGCACAGACTAGTGCTAATTGTTCATTTACACCAGCACATAGCAAGTACTAGCAAAGGATACAGATTTTTATTTTACTAATTAATAAGTGTCTGACATGTTGATGAAGATGACAGTCTCTCCACTACCAATACAGACTAGTGCTAATTGTTCATTTACACCAGCACATAACAAGTACTAGCAAAGGATACAGATTTTTATTTTACTAATTAATAAGTGTCTGACATGTTGATGAAGATGACAGTCTCTCCACTACCAATACAGACTAGTGCTAATTGTTCATTTACACCAGCACATAACAAGTACTAGCAAAGGATACAGATTTTTATTTTACTAATTAATAAGTGTCTGACATGTTGATGAAGATGACAGTCTCTCCACTACCAATACAGACTAGTGCTAATTGTTCATTTACACCAGCACATAACAAGTACTAGCAAAGGATACAGATTTTTATTTTACTAATTAATAAGTGTCTGACATGTTGATGAAGATGACAGTCTCTCCACTACCAATACAGACTAGTGCTAATTGTTCATTTACACCAGCACATAACAAGTACTAGCAAAGGATACAGATTTTTATTTTACTAATTAATAAGTGTCTGACATGTTGATGAAGATGACAGTCTCTCCACTACCAATACAGACTAGTGCTAATTGTTCATTTACACCAGCACATAACAAGTACTAGCAAAGGATACAGATTTTTATTTTACTAATTAATAAGTGTCTGACATGTTGATGAAGATGACAGTCTCTCCACTACCAATACAGACTAGTGCTAATTGATTTCATCAGCACCAAGTAAGTACCAGGAGAGGAACAGAGTTTTTCTCTGACTTCGGTTCTATTAGGTTAAGCATATTTCTTATCTATTTCATATCAACACATAGTTTGTTTTGCAAAAGAAAACATTATTGCAAGAATACATACATATAGCTTGGTACAAACTTGGCCAAGTACTGATAAAGTTGATTTTGTAATATATATAGAGAGCTTGGTAAAACTGGGTAAAGTATTGATAAAGTTGATTTTGTAATGTATTTATAGAGCTTGGTAAAACTGGGTAAAGTATTGATAAAGTTGATTTTGTAATATATATAGAGAGCTTGGTAAAACTGGGTAAAGTATTGATAAAGTTGATTTTGTAATATATATAGAGAGCTTGGTAAAACTGGGTAAAGTATTGATAAAGTTGATTTTGTAATTTATTTAAAGAACTTGGTAAAACTGGGTAAAGTATTGATAAAGTTGATTTTGTAATATATATATAGAGCTTGGTAAAACTGGGTAAAGTATTGATAAAGTTGATTTTGTAATATATATATAGAGCTTGGTAAAACTGGGTAAAGTATTGATAAAGTTGATTTTGAAATAGATACATACAGTTGATTTTGTAATACATATTCTGTACTAATAATAAAATAGAGTTACAAAACAAATATTTTTCATCACTAAGTAAAGCTGAGCACATGTTTAAGTGTAAACTTATCTACCATCAAGATATGATAGATAATATTCAAATGGAAACAGAAATCACTTACCTTTGACACAAATGACCACTCCTCAAAATGACCAGCATGTGAATAATGACTTAGGTTTTTGGCCTGAAATATATACTGCATAGCTCTGATTGATGGTGTCAGAATGAAAGCTAATTATAATACTCAATAGATGTACACCAGTGTCATTTTAATTTGTTGAGTGTTGATAAGAAAGTGAGAACAATGGTATGTCCTTGGGCTGAGTGGTTTTCTGGGTCCTTAGACTGTGACAGGTGTGATAATCAGTTTAATTAGGGCCAACATGCTGTTGGTGATCTAGTGACATTGTCTCAAATTATAGTAAAGGTGTGAGATATGGTGGTCAGTTTTGGTGTTATCTTGGAGAACAAAAACAATTTTGTTTTTGATATTGACAGGTAATTGTTTTCAGAAAATTCAGACATAATTGAATTTGTAAACATCAAAATCAGATAAGGTGATATCTATCTTTGATGTATGTGAGAATTTAGGTTATGTTGAAGCTAGAAAATATTGACTCAGATCAATGTTATAGAAAAAAACCCATTATGATTAATATCATAATGTAAAATTACCATTGATTTAGATACAAATTTGATATTGTGAACCCCGGACCAGAAGTATAGAATGAAAATAATTATAAATGTTTTAGTTTTTTTAAATCAAAGTAAAGAAGTATTACTTAAATGCAAGAGTCACAAAGTACATCATAAGCTTTTGAGAAATCTCATTTGAATAAAACCTCTCAGTAAAAGAAATATATTACTTATACTGTTGATAATCCAATGTTTTATATATATATATATTATATAATGAAAACATGCATGTTCTATATTAAGTGCACCAGATGGTAAATAAATGTCCTTTATTTATTATATATACATATGAGATAATGAATATAGGTATTTACAATCTTCATTTTAATTGACAAGGTAACATACCCACTAGTTAGTTATTTTGTATAAATTCTATATAGAGAGGTAGGGGTACTTGGTACTTTTCCTTTCACGAGAATCAAGATGAATGCGTTAGTGGGCAAAGGGAGGTAATACTCACTGAAATATTTTCTAATATAGATTGGTTAATACTTTTTTTAGTAGATGATGGACGATGTTGAATGGAAATATAATGTATGTTCATTTAGAATAAAAACATTTTATCAAGGACTTGTTGAAATAGAGAATTTAGTGGCATATAAATCAGACACACATCTTTTTGTTCAAATGATCAAAGATCCAGTTGAATTTGGATACCCTTCAAGTGTTGTCATTTGACAAGCTTTCATGTTTAGTCAGCCATTTTACATTGATTTGATCTTACTCAAACCCTCAAAAGATCATAAATGCATGTGTTAATACAAGCTTGTAAGTACATAATTGTTTTAGCTATTGTTGACTCTTGAGGCCTTTGCACTTTGATCTATAGCCATGGAATTGCTTGGTTTATGTCAATTTGTTGTCAAAACATTCATCTTTATTTACAGGAGGTGATGAAGTCATTAAAGGGTTGAAGATCATCAGAGGAATGGATGAAGATGATGAAGAGAAAAAAAAGCAGCCCTCTTTTTGAAGATGTATTGAATCATCTGTGAAAGGATATACTTCAAAGATGCAGAACATGTACACTGACTTTTATGGATGTTCTGGCAGCTCTACAATGGAAGTTTTTCATGTCAACTTCATATTGTATTGTTAGATTCTTGGTTTAATCATGAACAGTCACATTGTATTATGAAGAATCTGATTGTACAAATCAATTGTTGCTGAGACTAAATTAATCTGGATTCTTTTTAAACACAAAATTTTATACTTTTTCTGAATGCAATATATTGAAGCAGATACTGACATTTCATTTAGAAAGGATTGTGTACATTATAAGTACTTTTATTGATATGACAATAACTTGGTGTTTATGTGTCGATTATGTGATCTACAGTATATAAACCATTGGTGACATATTTACTTATTTACTGTAAATAGTAACGAATGTTGTTAACATGTTAGAGAGATGATGATAATCTTACTTATATATAATCAAAGATGGTCTGTTTATGAAACTTATTTATTCTCTGTTGGATGTGGTAAAGAAGATTTTTCTGGTTTTGTTGTTTCTTTTAAGTGGCAAAATATTTCGACATTATGAATAAAATGTTTTAAGAAATATTGGGTCCAAAGTCAAGATAAAATTTTGTTATTTTTTATCTGGTATACTTACTGTTATGAAATACATTCTTGGTTGTGTAACTACTTGTAAATCCATCAAAGTGACCAGAGAATCAGGTCAGAGGTCAAGGTCAAATTTTGTTGATACTTCATGAAGTTAAATTGATTTAATAGTCAAGGTCATCAGGTCACAGTTCAATGTAGCAGCTTCAGTTTCTACCCACAATATTCGAGATGATTGTGTGGCTACAGTATGAAGTGCCATTCTCGCATGACTGATGATTCTAGAGATGCCTTATCTGACTTAAATTACATGCTTGATTGGCCAGCTGTTCGGATACTTTAACTTGATAATGTTCTATGTTGAAGTAGGAGATTTTAGCTACGCAATGTAATCCTTGATTTTAAAATTTGTTTAGTTATGCACATGATGTACATTATCATGATTTGGCGTACAGCTTAATTGATATAAAGAAGTCAGCTTATATCAAATAGTTATGAAATGATTTAATGATTTGCAGTTAACATAAGATTTTGAATGCTAATACCAACCAGTACATCTATAATTTAGTTGATACTAAAATGACTTTAAAAGCCAACCATTATCATGAGATATTGTTCCAATCATCTCTAATATTTTATATGTCATTAAGATATTCCTCAGGACAGATGGCCTTCTCTGATTTTGACAACAGAAGTTTATTAATTATACTTCATACAAATTATTATAAAAGCAGACTCTGTCTGTGGTCCTTAGGTGTGCATAAAAGGTAACTGAGGCACATTGGTCCTGGATTGTGTTGATATTTAATAGTGTTATTGCAGTATCTTAAGAATTGCTTTCTCAAATTTGTAAATCACCTTGCTATATCATAATGTCGTTAATCCCCCAAGGTCATATCCATTGTTTGCTGTAGAGTAATGTCCTAGGTCACCATGGAAAATATGAAATTTAATACATAGTGAATATTTACACTGTGAAATACAATCTCAGAATGTGAAGAGATAACCAAAATATATAATCCATAGGTCCATTACTTCTTAATTACCTTGTTATTGCCACACATATATGATGAAATAAATAATGACACAGTTACATGTCGTCGCAGATATTTTATTTTAGAAACATCATCTATTCATAAACAAACTGCCATTTTGAGACATTGGGCCCAGGTCTATGTTAAGTGCTTTCTTTAAACTGCCTCCTGGATTAGTGTTACCTCCAAATGGAAGCTTTAGTATCATCTGTTTAGAGATGTAACAAAATTACTTCAAGATATTCACCTAAAGTCACTGATACAAAATAAGGACTCTCTTTGAGGACATGCTTTTTAAGGACATCAGAAATTGAATAAAGAAAATAATTTCATGATAAAATCAGTAATTTCATTGAATGCTTCAGAATAATTATTATCTCTGAATGGAATTTGTGAACATCACAAGATCTGTTTAGGGATATCAAAATGGAATTAGAGGTATAGATGACGTTTCATGTCACAGATTTAATTTGGTGAATAAATTTTGAAGATAAACTACTTTTTTTGCAACAAGACTGTTTAAAAAAAGTTATGATACATGTATACTAAATTATGATATTAAAATTTTTTATTACATAATAAAGAACATCACATTAAACATAGGCTGTTTTTACATGGTAATGACAACAAAGGATCCCAAAGGGATCATGGTGCCCACTATCTCATGATCTTAGATCTTTATTTTCCCTTCTTTTCTTTTTCTGTCGCCTTATTTACTCTGAACACAAAACATGGGTAATAAGGCACAAAAGTAAACCTACCGAGTGTTGTATGGATCATTGTTAGATTTCATATGTAGGTCCCCTTGGTCCTAGTTGTTTATTGCTCATTTTGGGCCTGACTGGAAAAACTAAACAGTGGACATGTAGCTTTTTAGGATTTTGACAGTATTATTATATCAATATTTCATGAGAAGTACATGTACTGAATGATTCATTCTCAAATTTTGTATGTAGGTTCCCCATAGTCCATAATGGAATTGATTGAAAAACAAAATGGCTGAAAAGTTATTGTTTTGGTTTTTGACAGCTATAATTTGTTATCGTTCACCTTGGTCCCCAGTTGTGTGTCGATAATTTTCAGACTGGTAAAAAAATTTAGAATGATTAAGTTTGTTGTAACTATTTACTGAAAACGACTTGAGTTGTCTTTCTCATGTTTCATATCTAGGTCCTCCGGGTCCCAAGTTGTGTATATGTTGGAGCAAATGTTGATATGAAACAGTACAATATAACAAACACTGCACATGTGATTGCAGGGTCATGGTGTTAATTCATACAGGATATGGTTTAAAGGACATGATTTTTTACTATTTTTAGCCTGCCTGGTCTGGAGGACCAGTGAGCTTATGCCATACTTTGGTGTCCATCATTCATCCCTTTTTTCCCTAAAAATCATTACTAGTCATAAAGGAAAAAAATTGGCCATAAGCAAATTTTGTGGAAGAAGGAAGAAAGTTTATATAAATGGTTGCTTTCAACCCCCAGGGGCCTGAGGGGCAGAGCCCAAAAGGGGAAATTTTTGAAATCCTACTTTCCTTGTAGGAATGCCTGGATTTTGTTCCGATTTGGTCTGAAGCATGCTAAGGTTAGACAGAATTAAGTATTAGGTATACATGGTGGGTGTAAGCCCTCTGGGAGACAAGAGTATCACCCAAAAGGGGAAATAGACCAAATCCTTTAAAATCCTACTTCATCTGCAGGAAGAGCTTGATTCTGTCCCGATTTTGTCTAAAGAATGTATCCTTGGGTGAAGGGAAATCGATTTTGTGTACTGTATATGGTTGGTTTTGGCCCATAGAGTGAGATTTTGTCCCAATTGGGGCCCTCTTTGGCATGATCAAATACATGAAATAGAGCAAACCTTAGGGGAATCAGTTTCATATAATCAATGGATGTTGGCATCTGTTCCCTGGGACTGGGCCGAATATGGAAAATAGGGCAAATCCTTTAAATTACTTCACCTGCAAGGTTGATTAAAGTATGTTCAAAGTAAACGGTTGGTCTTGGCCACTGCAATGGGAGAGGCAGGGCTTATTAGGGAAAACTTGTTAATTAAATCCTTCTTTTCTTGAAGGATATGTCCAAATTTTGTCTGAAGCATTCTTGATTGAAGAGGAACCATTTGATTTGTATACATGGTTCAATATGGCATTGGTTTGGGAGGGGTGGGGCCCAGTAGGAGGAAATAGCAGATTCTTCAAAGTTCTGACAGAATGAACATGTAAATTTTGTTCAGTGGAAAGGAGTCAATTTTGCTCAAATGGGACATGCCGGCCCCTGGGGAGGGAGAGACTGGTCTCAATTGGGTAAATAAGTCTGAAGGGTCTGTGGATGAAGAGGAACTGATTTTGTATAAATGGAGGGTCTGGGGCCCGAGGGGCTGGGCCCAATAGGGGATATGTAGTAAATTCTTAGGAAGCAGATTAAAAGCAAAAAATCATTATGTTGCTGCACAACCTTTTCCAATACAGGCACGAGAATATATGTAACAAGAAATAATACATAATTCTTATTCTGTTATTCTGAATAACAACCTTTTTTTAAAATAAATCTAATTCTTCATTACAAAGTAAGTGTAGGATACTTGGACATTAAGAAAAAAATCATTTTAATGAGCTTTAAACTCTGTAGCAACCAAAAAATGTAACTGATCAAAAGGACAGAAATCTTATTCGACCTTAGTGTTAAACTTTAAACGTGTTTAAGGACTTGGTAGGTTTTGATAGAAGAATGTTCTTGGATTCAATACGTAATTAAAAATAGGTCACCAAGTCGGAATTCACGAATTTAAAATCTGTGATTCGTATAATTTATGCAAAGTTTAGTTGAAGTCTACTGAAGACTTACAGAGTTTTATTCAAGAGAAGTACCTTAACAACCAGAAAACCTTGAAATTGACCGAATTACGCCGCCAGCTAATGTAGTTCACGAGCGAAATCTCTTCATAACGTCATATAAATTGCCCGTTTTCAACTTATAAGTACAACTATAGATTATAAAGTATATAAAACGACAAAAGTCCAAGATATTATGTTGGAAATCACTTTATGTTTAGTTATGTCTTACTTCCGGTCAAAACATCAGAGGAGTACATCCTGGACAAAGAAGTTTTGCTAATAAGAATTATGTGATCGCTACAGACTCTATGGACTTTTTATTTGCTGATACAACTTGGGAAGACATCGTCTCTTCTCACGGCAATGTGAATAACAGTCAATAATTTTTAAAAAAAAAAAGGAGGCCTAGCGACCTTGACAGTCACCTGAGGTAAGGAGTTTTTAATATAAAGCTTCCAGTTGTTATGAAAAAGGAATTCTGACATTGATGATTGTAAGCAAGTGTCCATACAACTTCTAATGGGAAATAAATGTTCTGTTTAAGAAAAAAAAACTATATTAAAGTTAACCTCTTCCCTAAGGAGAAATGCAAGACCAATTTTGGTAAAGCACCCAAAGACGCTTTCATCCATGGATAGTATTTGATCTTACCATACAAGGATGGTGAGAAGATAATTTTTGAGATTTGAGTCAATTTGGCCCCTTTTGATCACCCCTAGGGGTCAGTCACGATCAATATGGGCATACTATCCAGCCATTATCCTTTGCTCATTAATCTACCAAGTTTGAAATATTTCCAATGAAAATTAAACAAATTATGCGCAAAAATGTATATGTTATGAAGTGCTAGTTTCATGGTGAACAATTGACCCTAATACGCGCTGCTTGCTACATGTAGAAAAGATACAATGTTTAGATGGAAACCTAAATAACATGATGATAAATATATATACGACTCTGGTTTAGACAGAAACCTAAATAACAGATGATAAATATATATACGGCTCTGGTTTAGACGGAAACCTAAATAACACATCCTAGGCCAGTATGGTGTAGTTTCGCTCACCTTTGCTCCAAATATGTTATGAAATTTTATATGTACATGTTAATTAAACTAGGTTAAAAATAAACGGCTTCTCTATTCTAAAAAAGGGTATGCCAAGATTTTACAGCCAATTTGATTGTTTGGTATTCTTTTCTTGATATTTGGAGCAAACAGAACTCGAGGTATGGATCATTTCTTTTATACTTTAGCAGGACAAAAATATGTTACATACGACTCTTGTTTAGATGAAGGGCTTGTAGTTACTACAAGCAAATCACCAATCAGGCTTTGTCTAAGTAAACGTTTGGGATCGATATTTGGATTTCGATTTTCAACTTGTCGATAAGGTTCATGAACGCTTTGTTTATGATTTATCGAGGTTCAGTCGGATACATGTTTACCTTGATAGAATGTAGTTTATATTCACGCAGGTCACATGTGACTGAATATCGCCTGTCATCACCATCACGTGGTATTATATAGAATATATTCCTACCTTGTTTTAATCACAACCTAGGTTTTATTTTATCAAGCTTGAACAGAGAAAACGACGATTTCTCGTGGTGTATCTTTTTTCTTTACTTATCGAAGTTTTCACAACGACTAGAAAATTTTAAGTTAAATGAAGGATGAAGTACCCAGGTATATTCGACACGCATGCTTGAACCTAGACCTGTTTTGAGGCGGTGAAACCCTACGTGTGTGATATACACGTAATTGTACATACGTGGGAGATGGTAAATTCTGAAACGGAATGGATGACTGGGCTGATTCGAAAACTTTCTCAATAATGATTGAAATACCTAAGGTTGTAGTGATATTGTGCGTTTTTATGAACGGTGTCCAAACCTCAACAAGACAGGATATACAAGACTTGCACGACAAACTGTTACCAACTTATAACAAAGATCTCGGACCGAACTTCAACCTTTCTCAACCAATTGTCCTGTATATAACGTTCAATTTGTTCACACTCAATGAGTTTGATGATAAAGCCGGGAAACTTGTATTTCTAGGTGTTTCAACTATTCAATGGCAGGATGACAGAATGGTCTGGGATCCTCTTCTACACGGGAATACAACTACGCTAAGGTTACCACAGTCTAAGGTGTGGATACCCAATCTTTTGGTTGCAAACTCATACGATAACGTTAAAGAGATCGGCTATGATATCGTACAAGTAACATACACCTCTGACGGATGGGCCTCTTGGCCAGTCTCAGACTTATTCGATGTGTCGTGCACAGCAGACATTGCTTACTATCCGCAAGACCGACAAAGATGTGAAATATATATCATTCCATGGGCATACGTAAAGGGTACGTTTGATTTAAGACTTCCTCTTGATACAATGATACAAAACGACTTCATAGATAACGGGATGTGGAACGTTCTGTCAACCGAAATGAAAGTACAAGAACACATCGACAATAACTACGTCGTGATGGTAATCAAGTTCCAAAGACGTCCTCTTTTTGTAATTTTGAATCTTCTCCTGCCAATAACAGTTGTTGGATTACTAAATGTTTTTATTTTCTTACTTCCTCCTGAGCCGGGAGAGAGGACTGCCTTTGGAATTACAGTGCTATTAGCCATGGCTGTGTTCCTGTCGATTGTTTCCGACCAGCTGCCCAGCACATCACATCCACACATTGCTCGTGTCTCTATATACATTGCCATTGAAGTAGCATTAAGTGCAATCATAATGGTGTTCGCGATAGTTAGTATATTATTGTATAACACGAAAGACGATAAACCAGTTCCGGGTTGGATTAAACGACTGGTACCATCTCGTTCGAAGTCACAAAAGCACACGAAACATGGTTCCCCTGTTCATAGCAATGTAGACAATGCTGATGTTGTATGCAACGATACTGGACAAAGTTGTGCAGGAGCAGATTACGCTGAACAATTTAGACTCGAAGACAACGAAGTCAGATGCATCCCCAACTACAGAGGCCGTCCACATACAGTCTCTGAAGATCTAAACGAAAGACCAACGACGGACACCTATTCCGTCTCATGGATTGACGTTGCCAAGTTGTTCGACAAAGTCTGTTTAATATTGTTTCTGTCACTAAATATATGTATCATTGCAGCAAAAGTGATTGATACAATTATTATCGAGAATAGTGAGATAAGTTAACATGTGATTATCCTTCTTATCTCAAAGTTTTACTGTGATACAAAAACTGTCGTGTAAAGGTTTGGTCCGAAGTGTTCCGACTATCTATCGAAGTGTTCCGACTATCTATCGAAGTGTTCCGACTATCTATCCATAATTTTATCTTGGTCGCAGTCGACCGAAATCAAGACAAAAATTGAAATTGCAGTCAATAGTCAGGACCCTTAGAACTAGCCTTTGATGTTCAGTATGATCAAGCTTGTATATAAACTTGGAAACATCGTTAGATTCTTGGTATATACATGTATAAACCTCAGTGGGATTAGCTTCATCGACGTCGATTTCTGATGAAAGGAGAGCTACACTACATGCACAATATGTTTAGTTTCCTTACTTTGTTATTGCCTAGTGTTTTGCTTGTTTTTTATATGACAAGCCTCTACACACGAAAAGTGACGATGTTTCATTCTAACTTGTTCCTTTGTAATTCATAATATCAATATGTAAATAATGTATACTTATTTTATTAAATACTCATTTATATATACGAGAAAGACTTTTTATGTATTGTCTTTTTTCTTCTTCTTTTTGAATGATTAAACGAGCCCATAGCTCAAATCTAACGTGGTACAAATCACTGAACAGAACGCACACGGAGAACATTTCCACGAAGTTTTAGTTCTTTTTTTTACCAATATAGAGATAAGTTTGATTTGATACTGTTTCACGCTCTTTCTGACGAGGTGAAAGTTTGCGAGGTCTTGGAGGTCCGTCAAAATTAAGTATACCGACAAGGGCATATAACACATCACCTGATCATGTTATATCGAAACAAAGATATTACAGACATGTCAACGTAATCTAAATTCAAACTCAAGTTCGATGAAACAAGGCGACCCTTGAAAATGGGCAAGAAGAAAAAATATCCTCTTTTCCTGTAGGGTAAGGGTTTTCTTCTTCATTGACAATAACGATGCATACTAACGAGAATCAAACACGTCGAACTTCCTATTGCAAAATAAAATACAATGTTTCCCAAATAAATCGTTATAATGTATATAAGGATTCCATAATCTTCATCCGTCTTCATATCTCGAAATAAAATATCTTCCAGCAAACGGCATCTTGCAAATGGAATTCTGATATTGACAACAAATCATTGAATATCGAATTAATTGAGACACATTTCTGAAATCTGCCTTGTAGAAATTGAAAATCACACCAGGGAAATCCGACGAAACCATTACTTTTATAATGGTGGAAAGATTCCCCGAGTTTTGGTTGTAGTTAAGGATCGAGGTAAGCAGCTGATGTCTTATCGCAAGATGATTCCCTATTCTGGTATACTATATATGTACTTTTTTTCTAAGTGTCAAATTGAAGACCTTTGTGTCCTGTTTTGAAAACGAGATAAACAGTCTTCACACTACTACAATGCTGAGTATTAGGCATGGAGTAGTATTGATAATCGTCTCCGGTATGTCAGGAACAGAAAACAAAACCTCCTTATCTGGGGCGAACGCCCAACATGGACAAAAAACATGTTTAGGAATAATCTGTCCCAAAAGTCATGAACAACGTTCAGTGTCGGAATGTTGTCCGAGACTGAATCTTAAATGCCCCGATACCCGCAAAGCATTACAGTTCTACATCTGGCCTGGGGAAAATTATGATACATAGATCAACAAAATGAGTCGGACACATATAGTTTATTGATATAGTTGACTTTTTTTAGACCGAGAATATGTTTTCAACAATAGGCCAGATGGACCTGCAACACTTACCTGGTGTATATACATACCTGCATATTTGATCCCTGTGACTTTGAATATAAGTCAAGGTCACTTCGTTTTTTGCAACTTTGTCGAGACGCATCCTACGAACAAACCAGCCTAATATCTTGCCTCTAGCTCATGAGAGGCAATCGTTTAAATGGTTTAACAAAATTTACCCTAGTGACCTTCATCATACGTCCAGGTCATTTATTTTCACGAATTGTTGTCGGGCTTCATCCAAGGAACATACTATCCAAATATCATGCCTCTGGGCATTTTAGCTCATGAGAAGAAGTCGTTTAAAGGTTTAACTTATCTGACCCCTGTGGCCTTGAATATAGGTCAAAGTCATTTCTTTTTGCAAACTTTGTTGGACTTCTTCATTCTAGGAATATACCATCCAAATATAAAAATAACGGCCCATTAGTTATTGAGAAGAAGTTGTTCCAAGAAAGAAGTTGACACCGGACGACAGACGACGGACGCCGCACCTGTGGGCCAGGTGAACTAAAAATGGAGACAAAACTTGTATGGTCAAAAATGCTCAATTATCTCGTACTCCCTAAGAAGAATAAACGAATACAAAATTGAAAAAGGTACTTGAGATGTTATTATGAATGAACATTATTGGAATCATTGCGCTGTCACAAAGGAGAAACGATCAAACTGGTCACATTTGACCGAACACTAGTCCTATATACATGTTGTAAATGTTTGATAATGACAAATCTGACCAAGGCGTCAAGGCAACCCACTTTAACATCTATGATTGAAATGGCTGCGGGCTAACCAGTCCTCGCCGCTATCCCTTTAAAATGATTGTACTAAAGACATACATGTACAAGTGAGAATGAAACTAGACGTTTAGTATTAGTTTCATCGACTTGGTTTCTTTCTGTCAGAGGAAAAATTCTTCCTTGCTTGGGCTGACATATAGCATTAAGGCAAATAGCAACGTTTATTTAAAATATATATCATACATAATATGTCGCAAATGGTGTAAGAGCGACATTTAAATCCATTGCCACAAGTAACTAACTACTTTGCATTGAAATGGATGGATGTTGTTTCCATGGCTACATATATACATTTGCATATTCGAAATAGTGCCTTTGGACAGGCTACATAAAGTTAAGATGAATAGAATGCTGCTACAAATAACCAATTAAATAATGACAGTTACCTGGGTTTTCTGTGTTACCTCTGAGCAGGTGGCAAGCTTACCACATGCATGTAACTTATACAGGCGTGTTATTATGATAAAACTTTTTTAATGTTTCGTCGCTAACAAACAAGAATATATCAAATCTTAAGCTATTTTAAAGGTGTGTGATTAATAATAATATATAATGATCACAGGTAACACAAACGTTATATTTAGACACGCATAGGTGGTGTTCAACCAAGTGCAACGATATGGAACGGTAAGAGTTCAAAGCATGTTACAGTTAATTCTATCAACGGACGTAACCTGACGCATTAAGCCAAGTTTAACATACACCTAGTTGTTTGCCTTTCTGAAGGTGAGCGTTAGTTCCTGTTTCACAAGTGGACAATTCAAAACTTAAAATATGATTGGAGTTCTTAAAACTTTGTTCGTAACAGTATGTGCTTGTTTATATGGAGTTGAAAGCACAACAAGACAGGATATACAAGACTTGCACGACAAACTGTTACCAACTTATAACAAAGATCTCGGACCGAACTTCAACCAATCTCAGCCAATTGTCCTGTATATAACGTTCAACTTGTTCACACTCAACGAGTTTGATGATAAAGCCGGGAAACTTGTATTTCTAGGTGTTTCAACTATTCAATGGCAGGATGACAGAATGGTCTGGGATCCTCTTCTACACGGGAATACAACTTCACTAATGATACCACAGTCTAAGGTGTGGATACCAAATCTTTTTGTTGCAAAACCATACGATAATGTGAAAAAAGTCGGGAATGATATCGTACAAATAACATACACTCCTGACGGGTGGGCCTCTTGGTCAGTCCCAGACTTATTCGAGGTGTCGTGCACAGCAAACGTAGCTTACTACCCTTTCGATCGACAAAGTTGCCAAATATATATTATCCCATGGGCTTATGGTGTGGGTATGTTTGATTTCAGACTTCCACTTGACAGCATGACACAACTGGACTTCATAGAAAATGGAATATGGAAGGTTCTCTCAACCAAACTGTTTGTAGAGAACCACGAGGAAGGCGATATCGTGGTGATGGAAATAAAATTTCAAAGACGTCCTCTATTTGTAATTTTGAATCTTCTCCTGCCAATAGTGGTAGTTGGTGTACTGAATGTGTTTGTTTTCTTGCTTCCCCCTGAGCCGGGAGAGAGGAGTGCCTTTGGAATGACGGTGTTGTTGGCCATGGCGGTGTTCTTGTCAATTGTGTCCGACAAACTGCCCAGCACATCGGAACCACACATTGCTCGTGTGACCTTATACATTCTTGCAGAACTAATTATTAGTGGCCTCATCATGGTATTCACTATTTTTTCTCTGGTGTTGTACAGTAAAAAAGATGATAGACCCATTCCTGGATGTATTAAACGTTTTGTATTAATGTGTACTAAAAGACAGAGAAAGTTGAAAAAACATACACCTGATCGACGGAATGAACAGACCACTGAGGAACAAAACAAAACGGCACAGCGAGACTGGCCTTTCGAAAACGATCGACATCGCTATGATTACATGGATTTATATGATAAATACCGAGGGTACCCCAATGGAAATGCCGAACGAAGACAACGTGGTCATTTGCCTCAGATGTATAACCAAAACAACAGAGATAATCGACAGACACCTCCAGAAAGTCCAGTGGTAATAGCGACAGAGGACACTAGCACCAATGTCACATGGACTGATGTGGCCAAGTGTTTCGACAATGTCTGTTTGGCATTGTTTATATTTCTTAATCTTTGTCTACTTGTAGTTGAAACCATAGACTCTGCGAGTTATCTCAATAACGATTTTTAATAACTTTATTCTATGATATATGTTTTTTGTCTGAGCTTTATCGATATAAAGTCATAAAATATATTCTAGATTGATTCTCATGTATATATGTTGATAGTACAATGAAAGTGTCCATTAAAATGCATAGCATACGTGCAGTCATCAAAATAATATATGTGTTAATTAATATTCAAGGTATCTTTTAAATCGAAACAAGATCATAATTTCTGATCGTAAACAAGGTCGTGATAATACTGACGAAGGTATCATTTAATATTTGGCATGTTAAGAAATATGAAGTATAGTATTGCAGAACTTTGTATACAATCACTGCCACTCCCGTCAGTACTTGTTTAGTATGGAAATATTACAGGTGCGTACCAGTCAATGAGTTGGATATTTATCGTGAAATCCGATGAACCGACAAATATCCATTAACAACATACAGGTTTCGTTTGCCCCGAGGGTTTGTGTAGGCTAATTTGCATTCTAAACTTGAATTATATGTGTGCATGAATACCACGATAATATACTTTATAGATGACATGACGAGTCACGATAACGAATTCGTGACGTTGGTGTGTGGGCAAATATCTTTTTTTACAAACAATTACGTTCATATCTGACGTCACCTAACGCCTATTGGTTGACAACACAAGATGCAATAATAATATTTTTCGTGAATTGTCTGTTCTATTAGTGCAGAAATTGCCAAGAATAAATGGTATATACGCATGGTACTGCATCACGTTGTTTTTGAGAGATAAGATCTTTGCGTAAAGTCTCTTCCGTTGTTTTCTGTCTAATTTTACTGATGACATAAAAAAATGTGCATGCTTGCAAGGTCTCTAGCAGCATTTGATTATATGTACCTAAGCCAAACATCACTAATTCGGTTATCCCGAAGTGATAGTGTTTGTCCCGACAATACAAATCCGACTGAAAAAAAAACTGAATGACGAAGTTTGGCTTGATAATGTTATTTACAGGAAGAGCCAGGTATTACACCACTCTTGTTTTAATCTTTTTAACACCATTTGATAATAGGGGTCATATATAGACTCACCTGGTATATAAGGCCTTGCTTAAGAGTGGACCTGCTGACCTGTCATAGCTACTTGACGAAGGGGTGTCATACCGGTCGATAATCAGGTAGCATTCTAAACAACCATTAGATGATTCCGTTATTGTGACGTTAGGCAATTCATTACATTTACATACAACTCACAAAAGCGGGAGGTGGTGTTCATAAAATTTTTTCATCGCGAAGAATAAAGTTACATAAGTTATGTCGTCTCATTTCAGAAGTACATTGGTGTTTTTAAAAGTTATGTATTTTATGCGTGCTCTTATTACGTGTAGTACTCTACATTGATTTACCGATTAACAATGATATTTTTGACTAAAAGTGAAACACGACGAGAGCGGAGAGCTGTCTGATTTCCCTGGCTATAACCAGTGTGATAATAATTACTTCTTAATTATGCCCAAATCCAAATGTGTTTGTAATGTATCTGTTATATGTATGTAAAATTGTTTCCGGTAGAATATTTATAATCTAATGGTTTCGTTGTTTACCTTCTTCCCATGTGGGAACGTGACAATGCTTGCTTGAGTTCAGGTAAATTTACACGGCGTGTGTAGTCGATGGGGCAGAGTACGCTTAATCTTCCGGAACTCTTGACACTATACTTCTTGTACTTTTTCATGAGTCTCCATAAAAACCTTTTTTTAAATCTATTATTTGCTCTAGTTTCATCGATTTTGTTATGATCCTGTTAATATGTTGATAGTTTCCTTGTTAATTTTCTAGTGGAGTCAATGGTCAAACTAGTTTATGGTCGCTAAGTGGTATGTTTATTCATTTTCTTTTCCTGATAAATTGTATTTGTGTTTCACCTAATTTTTCGTTTCGTTCCTTTGTTTGATCAATCGATGACTCGTACCTGAATTTGCCTGTATTGAGTATCCGAAATGATCAGTAAAATTAGACTCGGTAGAGCGTCGGACGTCTGACCTCCGCTGAAAATGTGGTTCAATCCCTGCGCATGCAACGGATGACCCAATCAGCTACAACGGGGAGACACCGCCTCAAAATGATCATGGCTGTTCACGAGTCGATAAAGTCATCTAACAAATTTTGAAATTAAATTAAATAGGAAATGTAATTTGTATGGAATTTCTGACTTTATAATTAAGACTATCAGTGATTTATTCTAAGTTCCCTTTCCCATTCTTCAGCGAAATAACTTGATGCTGAAAAGCCACGTAACTTATTACTAGTAATGTAATGAGAAATCTTATTTTAGTTTGATTGGGTTTTGAATAAATGCTAAGTTGGCAATTTTATATAATTAAATGGAGATTTCACACTAATATAATAATATAATATATCAAAATATAAAATATAAAAATAATTAAGAAACAAAATATTTTATTTGTGGCCTTGATGAGCCTCGAACGATATGGCCTGTACTAATAGGGCACCGAATGACAACTCGTGATTTGCCGTTCGGAAGTAAACAACACAACACAAACAAGAACATGGCGTGTCTGCGAGCAGAAGACTGTAAGTTTTCTAAAATTGTGTACAAAATCCCAGATGATGCGAATTAAGTTAATTATAATATAATATTGGATAGAAATATTAATTTCAACTGGCTGGGTTTAGCATATGATATTAGTCGACGCCGATTTATATGTCTACCTGACTAGCGCGCTTGTAATCACCGGATCACTTGATCGGTTGATGTGCTTGGGTTCTTACTTCTAGTTAGTATAAGCAGGGACGTATATATCACGTTAATATATAGGTCCCTGGTATAAGTTTACTGGCATAACCGCACGAGTCTGATGTTCTCTCAATAATATGCATATATGCCTAATAATCGCTAGCCGAAAGAAGAAATCATAGATGTTAGAAACCAGACTGTAGAAATAACAGTAACCGAGCTATTTTATAGCGATTATTGTTCATGGCAAATCACAGGACAGTACCAGCCTCGTCTGACAACACGCTCAAACTGATATTAGTATTATTGTATTGACAGACGAAACTGGTACCTGAGGTCAGATTATTGTGGCAGGCCTAGTCCGAAGGGTTCTGATTATCTATCATTACTTTTTTGTCTTGGTCGCGGATAGATAGTCTGAACCCTTTGGACTAGGACAAGTCTAATGTTATCGTAACATGTATAAGCACAATATGTAGAAAGCCTATTGTACATGTAGTTAATAGTACAAGCACTTAAACCTACCACTGACAATCTGGTGAATCAACCTTTGGAGATGAGTCATGCTCAGTTAACAATCATGATGGACCATGTACTGTAATTAAAAGTAATCCATCTGGACTATGCCCTCTTAAGGCTTTGTGATAACCTTTTCAACGAACACCAAATCAAAAATGAATGGGAGAGCTTTTCCCACCAAGGTATGTGACAAAGGGAGCAAATATGCTTTTTGGATATTTGCAAAAACAATATGAAAACTATTTTGTTTTCAAAAACATTCAACAAGATTAAGCTTCTTAGATCTTTTAGTGTTGTAGGATGCTTCTAATTAGAGAGCAACATATATCAACCTCCTGTACCCTTCAAACCCATGTTCAAGGGGAAATTGCTCTGAAACCCACTCCTGATACTGTGTCCAAATACTCATCTGTCAACACATTAGTGGCCACAGCTATACTCAGACACCAGAGGGAAACCTATGGAGGAAGACAACTAGCTTAACAGATATGATCCCACACCATGTGCATGTCTTGAAACATTGCTGTTAGAGAAAGGGATCTTAAGCTCATGCTTGATTACACTCATATTAATGTCAGTGCATAAGGGAAGTTTGTGAAGTACTGCAGTCAACCTGTTTGTTTTTATGATATTTTTGCCAGCAAAATACAGGAATTAATCAATTTGATAAAAACTAAAGTAATCTTATATCCTTGTGATCGCTAGTGATGATATAACTTTTCCAGTGATAATAACTTTACTGGATGTAAATGTTTTGCAGTGTAATCTACGCATATTTAATTATGTAGATATTTAAAACAAATTATAGCTTATATGATATATCCTGAACGGAAGAAAGGCCACAATATCTCAGTCAGTAAAGCATTATCAGTCTTTACAACCACAGGTGAAGAACATACCCTAACTGTTGTTAGCAGAGATAAGCCCAGCAAACAAATGACATATCTATGATAAAACAGGAAAAAGATCCAATGTCACGATACAGGCAAAACAGTACAAATGGGAATTCTTCCATAGAATGGATTCCCAGGGGAATACCTAGTCAAGTCCATGTAGCTGAAATTTTGAGGTTTTAATGGTGTTTACACATTTCAGCATATTAAATATGCCATCTTCAGAACAATAAGAATGGTGTCCAGTTCTCTATTTTATCTACATATCTATGATATATGTAAGCCTGATCTTAATGTTTTGTATTTTTAAGGTGGGTATCGTTTCCTGGTGCTGTTCTTCAACTGCATGTTGACATTTGGTTCCTACTATTGCTTTGACATGCCAAGTGTTTTGCAGGATGAATTTCAAGGGGTAATTTGAAATTTATGACTTGATATTCAGCACTTTTTCTTTCAAATTCAGTAGGATTTATTATAACAACATAAAACAGGACTTTTTTAATTTGACAGATCCAGTAAAAAATTTTGATCCTTGCTATGACCAATTTTCAACAGTTTTCAATTGCAAATAACAAAAATATTATATTACCCAAGGGAAATGTTGTATTTCTGGTAAAAGAGTTCCAAGTTTGTCCCTTGGTTCTGCATTCAATACTCATGTAGGTCACCAGTACTGTAAATTGGAAACTGTTATTAAATATTATGGCCTATTGCCATATGGAAAAAAATTATGAGACTTTCTGAGTTTTGACTTTAAGCTAATTAACTTTCACAATGGTTTGCTTACAGTCATGACTATCTTATATAAACTTTGAAAATATATACCTTGTATGTTGGATTAATCAGATAAGCACATTCATGACATTTGTAAAATTCTGTTAACTTTTTGACTTCTGATTCCAGGTTAGTAATTGTACACAAAATTCCACTGGACAGGAAAATGAAACTTGTGTGAAATGTGATGACTGCCTGGGAATGTCAGCAGATGATTACAACCTTCTGTATGCCATATATGCCTGGACGTAAGTATCCCCAGCGTTTATGTTTCCATATCAGTATGAATTCAGATAAGTTAGATCCACATTTACTACCAAATCCTTTCTGTTTCCTTGGTGTTATAGAGGTTACAAACTGTGTTATTGACTGTGTTAAAAAAACCTGTCCAAACTTTAACACTACATTTCATAGATGTACATATTTATATAAATGATGTGTTTATAATGTCATTTTCATAGCAGTGTCTTGGCCAGTCTATAGATTGCTGTGATACATATGTAATACATATAGTTGACATTTTAGATACAAGATTGTGTCAGTTTGTCTAAAAGATTGTATATATTTTACTTAGTAATTATCATGAATCAAATTCATTTTCCAGAAATGCTGCTGTTGTCATCGGTGCTGGCTTCCTCATAGACAAACTTGGAAATAGAGGTAAAAAGTAGCTGTATTATCGAAATGTTTTAAAACTTTTGTATTTTAATCAAAACATGCTTCTTTATATATATTTGACATGTGATTTGATTATCAACAAAAATAGTTCAATATCCATGTATTATGCACTGCATACCATTAAATCAGTATATAAATGTTCACATTCATGAGAGAAGGAATTTGATTTTCATTGTCAGAGGTCTCACATTAAGATTACTTTGGGTCATACACAAAGAAATGAAACCATTTTTCCAGTAAGAATTAGAGAAAACAACATCAATGAAGCCAGTTGAACTTTGCATATCTTTGGTATATGAAAGCATGAATGATAAACAGTCACAGGACTTTTGACTATGTCCAAGGTGAAAAATGTGTGTTGTGTGGGGATGCTCTACTTCGCAATGAAAATTATTTTATCAAATTGTCTTTTTACTTCAGTGGGTGTGTTCTTGTTCTCTTTCCTGTGTGTTGTGGGATCTTCAACGTTTGCCCTTGGTAGTATGTTGAAGGGTACCTCCGCCATGTTGCCTGTTATGTTGCTTGGACGTCTACTGTTTGGATCTGGCAATGGCTCCTTGACAAGTAGGTTATTAAAGTTTATTTCTTTATCTCATATGTAGTAATCTTCACAATAATCAGCCCTATTAATAATGTGTCAGGTTTTCTTTTTTTTTAATTTTCCAAGAGTTAAAGTTGATTTTGTTTCAATAATATTTTTTATAATAAATCATATTTGATTGATATGAATCCTAAAAAGTATAATGTAGCTATTATATATTGTACATATTTCCCTAAATTTCAGCATTTAAGAAATTGTTTTGAGAAAAAAAATCATGATGTGAAATGCATTCTTCATTCTTAATTATCTTTTGTGAAATACATGTCTAGAATGATGTAACCAATTGTACGTATTTAACAAATGTTGGTTATGGTCATCATGTGGCACATTTGATAAAGATGGTGTTATTCATTCTGATGTACATTTAGCAAAGATTGGTTGTATATCTGGTCAGCCAGGTGACCCCAACCTTTTCACATCAGTTACGGGAAACAAACCTCAGAGGTCGGGCTAAAGGTAAGTACATCACCATTGCACCACTCGACCGCCCATGAATAGACAATTTTAGTATTCCTATGTTATTGAATTGACTTCTTCTTTTCCTTAGTTGTGAAGAACAGGATAACTGCATACTGGTTCCGTAACAAGGAATTAGCCATGGCCTTTGGTATCACACTGGCATTCTCACGACTTGGCAGTGTCCTCAACTTCTTTCTCACACAAAGCTTTTCTGAGACCTATGGACTTTCTTGGACATTGTGGGCAGGTAATGTTCTCAACTCATTATTCCCTCCCAGTTCTAATGTTTCACTGATATAATGATTATGTTGGGCATATTGGATACAATTTTTAATCATGTGTGAGTACGAAAACCTTTCAATATATACTTTTTTGATTAGCTGAAATTACTGATTGACTGACTGTAGTTTCAGGATGTAACAGTTTCTGGTGACTGTAGTTTCAGGATGTAACAGTTTCTGGTGACTGTAATTTCAGTATGTGACAGTTTCTGGTGACTGTAGTTTCAGTATGTAACAGTTTCTGGTGACTGTAATTTCAGGATGTAACAGTTTCTGGTGGCTAGTTCCAGGATGTAACAGTTTCAGGTGACTGTAGTTTCAGGATGTAACAGTTTCTGGTGGCTGTAGTTTCAGTATGTAACAGTTTCTGGTGACTGTAGTTCCAGTATGTGACAGTTTCTGGTGACTGTAGTTTCAGTATGTGACAGTTTCTGGTGACTGTAGTTTCAGGATGTAACAGTTTCTGGTGACTGTAATTTCAGGATGTAATAGTTTCTGGTGACTGTAATTTCAGGATGTAACAGTTTCTGGTGACTGTAGTTTCAGTATGTAACAGTTTCTGGTGACTGTAATTTCAGGATGTAACAGTTTCTGGTGACTGTAGTTTCAGGATGTAACAGTTTCTGGTGACTGTAATTTCAGGATGTAACAGTTTCTGGTGACTGTAGTTTCAGTATGTAACAGTTTCTGGTGACTGTAGTTTCAGGATGTAACAGTTTCTGGTGACTGTAATTTCAGGATGTAACAGTTTCTGGTGACTGTAGTTTCAGGATGTAACAGTTTCTGGTGACTGTAATTTCAGGATGTAACAGTTTCTGGTGACTGTAGTTTCAGGATGTAACAGTTTCTGGTGACTGTAATTTCAGGATGTAACAGTTTCTAGTGACTGTAATTTCAGGATGTAACAGTTTCTGGTGACTGTAGTTTCAGTATGTAACAGTTTCTGGTGACTGTAGTTTCAGGATGTAACAGTTTCTGGTGGCTAGTTCCAGGATGTAACAGTTTCTGGTGACTGTAATTTCAGGATGTAACAGTTTCTGGTGACTGTAGTTTCAGTATGTAACAGTTTCTGGTGACTGTAGTTTCAGGATGTAACAGTTTCTGGTGACTGTAGTTTCAGGATGTAACAGTTTCTAGTGACTGTAGTTTCAGGATGTAACAGTTTCTGGTGACTGTAGTTTCAGGATGTAACAGTTTCTGGTGACTGTAATTTCAGTATGTGACAGTTTCTGGTGACTGTAGTTTCAGGATGTAATAGTTTCTGGTGGCTGTAGTTTCAGGATGTAACAGTTTCTGGTGACTGTAATTTCAGGATGTAACAGTTTCTGGTGACTGTAATTTCAGGATGTAACAGTTTCTGGTGACTGTAGTTTCAGGATGTAACAGTTTCTGGTGACTGTAGTTTCAGGATGTAACAGTTTCTGGTGACTGTAATTTCAGGATGTAACAGTTTCTAGTGACTGTAATTTCAGGATGTAACAGTTTCTGGTGACTGTAGTTTCAGGATGTAACAGTTTCTGGTGACTGTAGTTTCAGGATGTAACAGTTTCTGGTGACTGTAGTTTCAGGATGTAACAGTTTCATGTGATGATTTTTTAAATCTGGATTTCTTATAATTTTATCAAAAGTCAAGATTTGATGATAACAGTTTCATTCACCTAAGAGGTTTTTTTATGAAGTTACCAGATTCACTAGGTGGTGTGTTTGGATATGCCATTCTGCTGCTCCCTAGTGGCCGTTCACACATAAAAAAAATTACCTGTCCAAATTTATTCCATGAAATTGCTGTTCAATTTATACTCCTTATAACAATGCTTACAGTGATACTGATAAACCCAATGGATTTATTTATTAATGATATTAAATTCAGGAATGGTTTTATGTTTAACTATATCATTTACATACACTTCTTACGTTGGAACTGGTTGGAGACTCTCAAATGTATCATCAAAGCCTTACTACTTTTAAATGCTTATATTTATAAGTTATATTTATCATTTTATTAAGGTAGGGAAAAGACTTACAGACAAAAAACATTATGAACTGAAACTATTGAAAGAAATGTTTTTAAGGTTTAATCTAATGTGTAAAATATAACCTAACATTAACTTAACACAAGAGCCATGCTGTGTCGTATTGGTTTCAATAGTATGGTTTGATCCTGTGTTTGAACTATTAATATTTACTTCACCCAGGAGCCATGCTGTGTCGTATTGGTTTCAATAGTATGGTTTGATCCTGTGTTTGAACTATTTATATTTACTTCACCCAGGAGCCATGCTGTGTCGTATTGGTTTCAATAGTATGGTTTGATCCTGTGTTTGAACTATTTATATTTACTTCACCCAGGAGCCATGCTGTGTCGTATTGGTTTCAATAGTATGGTTTGATCCTGTGTTTGAACTATTTATATTTACTTCACCCAGGAGCTATGCTGTGTCGTATTGGTTTTAATAGTATGGTTTGATCCTATGTTTGAACTATTTATATTTACTTCACCAAGGAGCTATGCTGTGTCGTATTGGTTTCAATAGTATGGTTTGATCCTGTGTTTGAACTATTTATATTTACTTCACCCAGGAGCCATGCTGTATGGTCTTGGTTTCAATAGTATGGTTTGATCCTGTGTTTGAACTATTTATATTTACTTCACCCAGGAGCTATGCTGTGTCGTATTGGTTTTAATAGTATGGTTTGATCCTATGTTTGAACTATTTATATTTACTTCACCCAGGAGCCATGCTGTATGGTCTTGGTTTCAATAGTATGGTTTGATCCTGTATTTGAATTACTTATATTTACTTCACCCAGGAGCTATGCTGTGTGGTCTTGGTTTCATATCAGCCATGATTGTAAGCTTCTTAGACATCTATGGTGTGAGACAGCTCGGGGATGAACAATCCATCAAAGCAGACTCCAAGAAACTTGTGAGTATTTGGCAGATTGTTTTGAGGATTGTTATTATTAAATTTCAAGGCATTATCATGTCACGTATTGACAATATTTGTAATCATTTGCTTGTAAACATTCCAGAGATAAATAGTTTAACATGAAATAATTATCTGTAACTCTGAGCATGTATGATTTGTAGTCATGCTTCTGTATAAATATTCCCCTTGACAAGTATCTTTGTGTTTCAGAAAGTGACAGATATTAAATACTTTTCCCTGTCCTACTGGCTGTTGGCTTTAGCTATCATGTTTTTCTACAATGGTGTCTTTCCATTTGTTGCTGATGCAAGGCAAGTCTTGATTTGTCTCCCAAATTACATTTGTGTGTTATGCTGCCATATGATCAGTATTGATGTTGAAAATAAATTGCTTTTCTATTTTGACATGGTTCTAATTTTGTTAACTTGTGTCAAACCTCTTAGATAAAATATTTCAACAAGTTTATTTCAGGCAGTTGGTGTTATACACAGAATAATGTTGCCCAATTGTACATGTTTCATGCTCTGACAATCTTCTGTATAAGACAAACATTTACTTTATTTAATGTATTCACATTATTTACATATTGCAGATTTATTCAGCATAAGCAATTATATAAGAATTATTTTTTGTTATCCCCCGAAACACATTTGCAGAGAATATTAATTTGGGCTCCATGCATGCGTCTGTCCATCTGTCAGAGTGCTTTTCGGGGCTATAACTTCAAAACTATTCAACTCAACTTCACAAAACGTGCTGTACATATTAAGTTAGTGCCCTAGTAATGCCTTTTGTTGCTATTGACAGCATTTCAGTTATTTTAAATATCTTTTGTATTACCATGGAAACATATCTAAGCTACAAATTCAAAACTGTTCCACTCATCTCAACAAAACTTTCTGTAAATATTAGGTTAGTGCCCTAGCTGTGACTTTTTTCTGTGACAACATTTATGTATTATATTTTTTCTGTTACCATGGAAAAACTAGTGTTAACTTTCGTTTACGGGCTACAACTTCAAAACCATTCCACTCAACTTCACAAAATGTTTTGTATATATTAAGTTAGTGACCTAATTGTGCCTTTTTTTACTGGGGACATTTTAAGATTTTTTTTTCTGTTCCCATCAAATTTTTCAATTTCTTGAGATTTTTTGTATATCTCCAAGGCTTATAGAGTGTTGCATAATTTGTTCATGGACAATACAAAGCTCTATTTAAATATCAACAGGATCTTCATCAAGATATATACTCATACTATTAGGTTGATACATACATATTTATATATATATTATATATATATATATATATATATATATATATATATGTATATTTAAAATGTTGAAGTTGAAGAGATGCAAGGAAATTAATTGATAACTGACAAAAAAGACGTAACATTCTGCGCTATCTCTTTCACTGTATTAGATCTTCAGGTAATAGTAATGGTACATATTTGAATGATGTCACACATTGTATATATAATTGTATAAAAAGTATATATAAATTATATTTGGGTTTTACACCAACAGCTGGGTACAGGGGATAATATCTTGCTCAGCAACTCCTTGTTTTCTATTCTTATAATTAATATCTAATTTTTTCCAAACAGTGAGTTTATACATGTGAAGTATAAGTTTGACCTGAAAACTTCCTCGTATTTGGCCGGAGCAGTGTATGATGTCTCCATGGTTGTATCCCCCTTTTTAGGAGGGCTAATTGTATGTATCACTCTTCCTGATTACCGTTATATTATAGAAAAATGAAATTTCATTGAAGTGGTAATGATAATCACCACATATAACTCTTCAGTATTGTTTTTATTCTCCATTTGATGTTTTTACCATCAGATATATATTGAATTTCATACATTGTATATTTTATCAAAGTAAATAATGAAATGTCTGTTATTAACTAACCATTATGTATAGTGCATCAGAATTGTATTCTTGTTAATTTTTATTTGTTAATTCTTGAGCTGACAACATTTGCTTGAAATATTTTATATAGAATGTGCAAATAATTTTATATTTTTGTAATTCTGCAATAATGTATCTATCATCTGATTTAAACTATAAACTGGCAAGTCTTGATGTACAGAATATATATATATGGGAGATAATGTCAGGCATAATTTGTCTCAGGACATCATTGGAAGACGAGGAATCCTTGCAGTCATGTGTGCCAGTCTGTCCATACCTGTGTTTGGAATTCTAGCGTTTACATCTGTCTATCCATTGGTGGCAACACTGTGGCTAGGAATGACTTACTCGTTTGCTGCTGTTAGTATTCCTTTAATGGATGAATTTTGAAGACCTCTGGTTATCTATATATATCTCATAATCATATGAATTTGTTACAAAAGGAAAAAATCCTACTGTACATTCAGAATATCAGTACATCTGTTGTAATACATTGATCAGTAGAAGAAGTCAGGTCAGGAGATAAAAAGCAAATGTACTGCCAGATATTCTGTATATTATGTCAGCTTTTTCCAATTTTCCATAAAAACTTTTTGATTATAAAAAAAAAATTCATTTACCATGTTATTTATAATCTTTGTCAAATACTTAACATTTTGATAAGAAAATGAAAATGCAAAGTAAACTACCTGTTATTGATTTTTTAATTTACATTGTATTTGATTTTTTCATTTTTTAAAACTGTTCATCTTTGGAATACAAAATTTCATTGTACTAGAAATTGTTGTGGTTGCTGTTTACAGGCAAGCTTATGGCCATCCATTCCACTTGTAGTCAGTCCAGCCACAGTGGGCACAGCCATGGGACTGACCACTTCCATGCAGATGATAGGGATAGGAGTTTCCAACCTAGTGGTCGGTCAGATCCTGGGTAAAAACCTTCAGTAAGTGTATTGTATATCAAAAAGAAGGGGTGTCCACTTTTGATGTCAGTTACCATCCAGTAGATATACCTTGATGTACTGATAGGAATGTTCAATTTTATAAAATTTATTCTTAAACTGTCAATTGAATACCCGTATTATCTTACAGAAAAACATTTTAGTTTTTTGGTTTTTTTTTTAATTTTTTGCATTTTGTGCTCTCCTGTCATGCATAATATGGATTTTGTTAGGCAGTATGTCCTTATGGTAACTTTCATTCCAAAGTGATTATAATCTTAACAAAAATAGTTGTACCAATTACAGATAAGAATAATTAATTGCCTGATTAATGTTAAAAGCTGGATAGAAAAAAGATCAATTGAGTTCTTTATAATTTACCATTTTTGTCATTACAAGTTGATGAATTGTAACAAAGTTATGTTCTGTTACCTCCGATTAATTCCAGCATTTTCCATTTTGTATCATTATAATTTAGTCTGAAGACAGAGGAAACTCTACTAAGATGGAAATATGTCATGATCTTCCTCTTGGCAAACAGCCTAGCCTGTGTGGTAACCACAGTGTTCCTTAACATCAATGACAAAAGAAGGGTTAGTCATGTTTTTCTGCCTTACTCATATGTCCTGTTAAAAGCACATTTGTGTGACCGACAACATTTCCAGGTCAATAACAAAGGTTAAAGAACAGTTCTTGTTTTCTGATTTTCAAATGTTGTGCTATGTTTGAAATTGAAGTGTTGTATTTGCTTTGAAAAGTGTCATCAATTTTTCTAAACTTTAAAGTAATTATCTCACAAGTGTGTTAAGTTAAAGTATATAGAGTGTAAATACAAAATAACCTCCCAAGTAAAACCACAGACTTAGATATAGGTCTGAGTAAAACATTGTCGCAAATCTATTGGTGTAATGGTCCATAGATACAAAATTACTTCTAACTGCATCATTTTAGGGGTATGAATTATACAAAGATGTTCTTGAATATAAACCAAAAAATCTTTTTTGATCAAGGTAAAGTAACATAGTTAAATTTCTGAACTCTTTTCTTTGAATGTTTTCAAAATTTCTATTGTCAGCCAAATAACAATGAAATAATGTTTTCAAGATAAAATTCTACTGCAGTGCATTTGTTATTATTACCAATTTAATCATAAACAAATCAGGTTTTAAAGTGAGAAAATCAATCTTTGTTTTATGCAGGGTGGAATTCTAAATCTTAGTCGAAAACAGAAGGCAATAAAAGCAGCCCAGTTAGCTGCTGACCCAGCAGAGGAGAAGGAGCCAGACGAGAATGACCCACTTATTCCAAATCGAGGACGTCCAAACATCAACTGATGTTTGCTTGACAATCCAAATTTACAGTTATTTGGGAAACATGTGTGATTAGTGAGAGAGAAGTACCTGGTAAGGCAGGATGGAATAATAGGAATTGAGACATTTAATCTTTAAAAGAAAATGTGAGCAATAGTTTGATAAATTTACACAAAAAAAACAATGTGTTTTATGTTGATGTGTTGCGTTTAAGTTTTATGATAAGCTATAGTCTCACAACTGACCTGTAATGATCATTCTCATTGAGCCAATACATACACACATCTGAGATCTTTTACGCCAATCACATGAATCTGATAATCGTGTGACCTCTATTTGATTTTACATCAGTTTATGAAACTCTTACATTCAAAAGTTGATATCATTGTAATTTTCATGTAGACAATCATCATTTTGCTTATTTGAAATGATATTTTATTAGTGTTTTATGACTAGTTTCTCATTACATAACAGTACATAACAGACTTGCCTTATTAACTTAAAAGCCTTGTTCAGGTCATATAGGCTTAAATAGGCTAGTTGATTCAAATGTTTGTTATACTTGTAAATTTGACATATGTTGTGAACATTTTACCTTTGATGAAATGTATCTTTAAGATGCTTTTTGCCTGAACATTTTACCTTAAATGCATCTCCTGGGCATTGCAGCTATTGATTATGTAGTATTATCAGATGTGTTCCTGCCGTTATATAAGTAATGGGTGCTATGCTTACACTTCCAAGTATATGGATGTAATATTTAAATAAGTGTCTGATGGTAAGAGATAAAAGAAAAAAATATGGTATGTTCTTACTACATTTGTACTTTTATCAAAGAATTGATACATTCCCATTACTTTTATCAGAGAAAAGAAACAGGATAATTATATTTATGGTAAATATGTTGATGTTTTGCCCATTGTTTCATTTGTGACCACATTTAGTTGATAATGTTCAATGACCACCACTTCCTATATATATAAAAGGATGTGTCTTCCTATATGTATATCAACTGTGATCCACTGGGAGTGTGTTTAGCACAATTAAAATAATGTTTTAATGTTTGTGTGGATATTAAAGGAAATATTGATATGATGAAAATAGAAATGTTTCCATGTCTCCTTAGGTTGATTTCTGAATTCTGTACATGTGCCAAGCATTATTGAGATTATGAACAAATTTAATTGAATATTGAATTATGATGTTCCGACTTCATTATTGATATTCTTAATGCTTTCTCAGCTTCTATTTAATTTTTTTGTGCAAGTAATTGGAATGAGTGCAATATAACTAAGTATCGCTTTTACAAAATTGGGAGTTACTAATTTGACAGGTTAATTCTCAGGTCATTGAAAATAACGATTATCTTCAGTATTTGATATCTAATAATGGATAAGGGTTTTTACAATTTTATTTCTTTTTTCTTTCAGTTGAAAGCAAATTAAGAAGAAAATCTTGCTTATTCATGTACATGTTGTTACTTTATCATTACTTACTTTTTTTTAATTACTCAAAAATGAAATTAGAACTTTTTAGAACTTGATCTATATATTTGACAACCAAACGATTTTACAGGAACATTCATTGTTGTCCATTAAAAACATTTGTAGAAAAAGGATATTTTTCTGACAGCAAATGAATAACTGTGATAGAAATGATATGTAATTTATAACTTTCTGTATAATTTTGGGTACTTGTAATATTTTTTATGATAAAATAAAGAAACACTGTATTGCCAAGATGATGTTGATGTTGGTTTTCTTGTAGTGTAGTTGTTTCATTGTTACAGGGGGTTTAATTTCATACATGTGAAATTTCAGGCTTTGTGTTGACATGTATAACTGTTGTTTTCTGTGTGGGGACAAATGTTTGCCATTTTATTTAGGTTATTTAAAAATTGTTATGAAAGATAGACCATTCATAAATTAAGTGGCTATAACCCCTGGATTTTCTCAGTCTTTTTACACTATTCAATTTGATTCTTAATATTTGATTCATATTTAGAAGAAAACACAAAAGTTAGAACTTTCAATCCAAGTTTGTAGAACTATGATTTTTTTTTTCTTTTCGTTTTACTTCCATTTGGAGTGGGAGGGGAACTTGTAAACTGATGGAGAGGAAACCTTACGCACATGACATCCACCCCTAATCTTTTATTCTTAGCATGTTTTTTGGTTTTGTTATTTTTGTTTTATGTACAAGATTACTGGATGGATCTTTAAATTCCATGTAGGTTTCCCCTTGTCATCCTTAATTGTGCCTTTTTGATTTTTTGATTAAAGGACTGATCAGGAAAAGATTGTCCACAGGTGGCCATCTTGGATTTCATCAATGAAAGTTTGTTATTGCTATTTTTTGAGAAGAATAGGATTTATCTTTTTTCAAATTTCATATGTAGGTTTCTCTTTGTCCCTTGTTTGAGACTGATAAGAAAAACAAAGTGGCCGACAGATGTCCATCTTGGATTTTGACAAAGAAAATTTGTTGTTGCTATTTCTTGAGATGTATATGTAGGTTTCTCTTTGTACCTATATGTTTCCAGGTGGATTTCGGGACTAATCAAGAAAAACATATGGTTGACAGGCCGCTTTCTTGGATTTCAACAATGAAAGTTTTTTTATAGCTATTTTATCACTTCAGTATCACTTCCAATACTCTCAGATTTAAAACGTAGAAATGAAGAGTTATCTTTATTATTGTGATCAAGATGTTGTCAACATATTTCGTCCACTATGGACCTCTGTTGGATACCCTAAGATATCCATCCAAGAAGATACCAATATTTAAAATAATTGGGGTGTTGGTTCTCCTAGTTTTTAGTTTCTATCAGTTTAAAGTTAAAACCATCATTACATCACATTAACCAAGCTCATCCAGGATAACCTGACGACATAACAAAGCTGAAAAAATAACAAAAAGGTAATCAATATCACTTTTAATTTCAGTAACACAACAATTAGACTCGTTAATGAACTAATTTAACACACAACTTTGTAAATAACTCCACAATCACACGTTTGTTCTGTAGGCATCATTTTGAATTATTTTACTACTGTGAATAAGGAAATGATTTCTTATTAATATTTATAGCAGACTATAATCATTCTTTTTCAAAACTGTGGATTTCATTCTATATAAACCATCTGTTTTGGTGTTTTTAGAAAACATATACTGTTTGTAACAACTCTTGTCAAAAACCAATTAATATAAATCAAATCATCATGGCGATTGGTTGAAATATAGCACACACTGTAAATGGTAACAGCAATAATAATGTATGTAAAACCATAGCAAATTCTGACATTCTTCGAAACTTTTCTAGGCTGGCTTGTATATCTACCTTGTACAGTGTACTTTAAAATCACATTTTATCATTGGGGGGGGGGGGGGGGGGGGTTCACATTTTTTAGTTGAATAAAACTGCATTTTCGTTGGGACTAGATTTTGTGGATAAATCTTGCTTGCTACATCAACTACCCGGTAATATTATAATCCATATCCATTTTGATCTGTTTATCATTTCATAAACATTTAAAATTTTGCATGAAGAATTATTATGAATTCAATTAAAATTAAAGCAAGAAAATTACTAATCATAAAGTAGACAAGATTTGGTTTTGATTATCATTACAAAGATAGAATATCCCATCATGTTCCTTCCAAATGATTTGGTCATATCTATTATTTGACGGTAAATTACATATTGTGTCACAGGTCACAATTTTAAAAAGAAAGGGTATTGGGTAAAGAAAATAAAATGTAAACAGTAAAATAAAATTCACATCAAGTTCATACAGTTCACTGAAACTCAATGTTGAATAACTAGTAAGGCTTACCTTCTTCAGTAAAGAAACTAGACATCCTGAGGAAACAAAAAGCATTTCTCTATTGTAAATGACACATACCAAATTTACATGATTAAGATTAAACCAATCAAGGAAGACTTCAGAAATTATTCTTCCTTAATAAACACCTGGTTACTGAAGAAATATCTACAAAACGATTACCATAAGGGAGGTTCTCAAACTGCAGGCTAGATCACATACAATATTTACAAATAGATAGACAAAGTTTGTTTAGTTATAAAACTTACAGGGGTTTTGACACAAATAGATCTCTGTGGAACATTTACCATGATTAAATCATTCTCACTTAATTTGATTACTACTGGTACCTTGAGCTATTGGGTAACCCTTTTTTGGTAGAATGTTAATAAAAATACTGTTAGTCTTTTATCATTGTATGGTAAACATATTATTTTTATGTCCATGATAAAAACTGCATGTACAGTTGTAACTTATATTTATCTTACCTCCATGCTTAAGCATATCTATTTGGCAGATGACAAAAAGCTTAGTTCAATAGTCCTGGTATATAAAAGTTCCTTAATATCATCAACACAACAGGCCAGTAAGGAAACACTTCCCTTTAATGACAAAAGTGTTCCTTTATACATTCGATACACAATTCATAACACAAAATTAACAACACATTAGTGATATGTACATGTATTAATGTGAGTCTGGAGGGAAAAAATTTTAAAAGTTTAGAATTGCAACATAAATTGTATATAAATGATCATATGATCACAGCTTTACTATATGGAATGAAATGAAGAAAAAGTTAATATTTGTATACATTCAATTGATAAAAGACAAAAAAGGGGGAAGTCATGACTTACTATGTTACAATGGCATCATGTAACTAAACCTGTTTAATTAATTACGAGGTACATGTTACACATGCAAGAATTGCTACCTACAGAATCACAGATCCACATAAAGTGCTTCAGAGGATGCTGAAAAAGGATGCTGTGAAATTTTCAAACTAACAGTAAAGTTCATTCTAATCAGTAAGTTATTATAAATTTACATCAGAAATTAGAGAATGGAACGATACAACTTTGATTCCATGGTTTGTTTATGTTGTTAACATGTTTCAGTAAACTCACAATCATCGCAACAATCTGCCCTAAGGATAACATTACAGCGTTGATGTAATCGTAAAATACACATGATTGCAGTATAGTAATGGATAATCAGTGGGAAATGGACAACACAATAAACCACAGAATTGATGCTCCATTTTGTCTATGTTTACATGTCTCCGTGGCAGTCAAGTGAATATCTATAGGTATCTGTCAATTATTCCTGTCGCATTTGACTACTAAGTGACAGAAATACAGATTTGGTTCTCCAATTCTTTCAGGTCTTGATTTACATCAGGTTGCTATTATCTAATCCAGAGGAAATGAGAGATGCATTCAAACCACATGTTATGTATATCATCAAAGTAAAACATCAGAATACAAGTGAGTGGATTTAGTAAAGATAGCTGACATAGTAGACAATGATAAAGCCTTCACTGATACAGGTAGTATTAAGTATAGATAACTGACATAGTAGACAATGATAAACCCGCCACTGATGTTAGTAGTACTTAGTATAGATAACTGACATAGTAGACAATGATAAACCCTCCACTGATACAGGTAGTATTTAGTATAGATAACTGACATAGTAGACACTGATAAACCCGTCATTGATTTTAGTAGTATTTAGTATAGATAACTGACATAGTAGACAATGATAAGCCTTTCATTGATACCAGTAGTATTTAGTATAGATAACTGACATAGTAGACAATGATAAACCTTTCATTGATACCAGTAGTATTTAGTATAGATAACTGACATAGTAGACAATGATAAACCTTTCATTGATACCAGTAGTATTTAGTATAGATAACTGACATAGTAGACAATGATAAACCCTTCACTGATACAGGTAGTATTTAGTATAGATAACTGACATAGTAGACAATGATAAACCCTCCACTGATAGTGGTAGTATTTAGTATAGATAACTGACATAGTAGACAATGATAAACCTTTCATTGATACCAGTAGTATTTAGTATAGATAACTGACATAGTAGACAATGATAAACCTTTCATTGATACCAGTAGTATTTAGTATAGATAACTGACATAACAGACAATGATAAACCCGTCACTGATGTTAGTAGTATTTAGTATAGATAACTGACATAGTAGACAATGATAAGCCCTTCACTGATAGTGGTAGTATTTAGTATAGATAACTGACATAGTAGACAATGATAAGCCCTTCACTGATAGTGGTAGTATTTAGTATAGATAACTGACATAGTAGACACTGATAAACCCTCCACTGATACAGGTAGTATTTAGTATAGATAACTGACATAGTAGACACTGATAAACCCGTCACTGATGTTAGTAGTATTTAGTATAGATAACTGACATAGTAGACAATGATAAACCCTCCACTGATACAGGTAGTATTTAGTATAGATAACTGACATAGTAGACACTGATAAACCCGTCACTGATGTTAGTAGTATTTAGTATAGATAACTGACATAGTAGACACTGATAAACCCGTCACTGATGTTAGTAGTATTTAGTATAGATAACTGACATAGTAGACAATGATAAACCCTGCACTGATACAGGTAGTATTTAGTATAGATAGCTGACATAGTAGACAATGATAAACCTTTCATTGATACCTTTGGAGAAAAGTGACAAGTCATAAAGGTTCAAATAAGATAGAGATATTATAAAGAGACATCACTTGTATTCATGTTTATTGCATTATATTGCTTTAGACCTCTGGAATGATTATCATATACTCCACAAATATAAATATTTATACTAGGAACAATATATCGTTGATATGTCTTCATCGTTAGTATCAAATCATAAACAGAGCCATACAGTAGATCATAATATCTCTAAACCCTTTCACAATATCTCTAAACCCTATCACAATATCTCTAAACCCTATCACAATATATCTAAACCCTTCATTTGCACTTTTCAGAGAGAAAGTACTAAGTCATAAGGATTTCAATCTTAATAATCGATCAATTTTTTATAAATACAATTTTCACTAAAAATTCATCAATCTTAATATATAAATAGATAATAAATATGCCGAATAATAAGCAGTTTTTCATGGCTCAGATACACAATTTGCCATTTTAACTATGTCAAATTGATAAATATAAAGATCGATAAAAAGGAAATGTATAGAGTATATTTTGAGGTTTTAATGAAGCAGGTAAGTGGGCTAAAAAAATACAGAATGAAAATCAAATGCATGTATAACAGCAGCAAATTTACAGGGACTTTTAAGAAGAGACCAATATGCCTCCAGGATATTAAAGTGGATCAACAGTATCAAATATCAACATAAAGTGTCTAATTCAAAGTAAATTATAATAAAGTTTTATATGTAAGTAACATAAAAATGTCCACAATCATCGACACTCATAACCAAAAAATGATATGGTGATTTTTTTCAATACACTGTACCCTGGTGTATATATATTAAAATAAACTTGAAGAACAAACCAATTTAAGCATTAGTGCTTGCATTTCTGTATCCTTGTGATGCTTACCTACATAAATTGTCTATATACAAATACATATAGTAATACAATAAAATTGGAAACATTTTTGATAACTAAAGCATAACCACTTTCATATCTAATCTCTAGATGCTTTACAAATAATTTTGATACCTCAGTGGGCCTAAATGGTTGCCCTCATATATATACATACATAAACAGTACAAGAATTATAAAGTAAATGAGCTCTGTATTTTTGTCTAACTGTAGATCTCATTTAATTTAGACACACTGTCAAAAAAAAAGTAAAATTTCTTTTTAAATTGTAAATATGGAAAATGAATCATGCAAGCATTGATGAAAAACTCCATTTAAGCAAATGATAGAACTTTTGCAATAAACCTATTGTTGTATTTCATCTAAGTGTCAATAGCTACTAATGTGTAATCAAATTACCAAGACAAACTCAATTATCTATTGATGATTTGTTTTGCACAATGGATTAAAAAATAAAATACAATAGTGTGTATATTCATTACAATAAAATAATTATAGTTATTGTGATAACAATGCAATTACCATTTGATGGATTTCAAATTTAAAAAACCCAATTATCATATTAAAATTGAGAAACATCAAACTTGTAGGAAAGTAAATTTGGAGAAATTTCATTTTGTGATATGTAGACTTTTGTAAGAGACATATATTGGTGTATTGTAAGGAAAAAGCAGTTTTTTCTGTTACAAAAACAATGGGGACTTCATCATTCATATCAAAGTAACTACACCTCTTATGTTTAATTTTCTAAACTTAGAAAATAAATACTGAGTGCTTAACATTCCAGTGAACTTAATAAAAATAAACCTCACAAATTTAATGGTATATGTATATATAATACATACACTGATCTCTCATACAATAAATACACTAAAATAAACTAAACTATTTAAAAATAAGTTATGTAAGGGAATAGGAGGGAAAAAGTTTTGATAACAATAACAACTTTACTAATTATTCTCAATTCACACATCAAATGGAATGTAGCAGAAAGAAAATTAGATTTGTATTTTGATTCAACTTCATTAAAATAGAAAGATAACAAATTTTGATTTGAATTCCATAAAATCAGCTATTTTAACAAATTGAAACTTGTTAATGAATTCATTAAAAAGTTTATGTTTAACAGATGTTTAAAAAATCTCATTTCCTGATTTTTCAAGATTTTCTATTCCAAGAACAAACGTTTAGTTCAAGTAAAAGTTTAACTTAATGTAGGGTCCAAAACTTTGTTTACATCTGAGCTTAGTCGTTTCCTAAAATTTTGGCCATGTAATTTGCATCAGCAATAAGGACATTCTTGTCAGAAACAAAACAAATTATTAATTTTAATCTAAAAAATTGTACGTGTATTGTAGTCCTTCCTAATTTGTAAAGCTAGTGAAAAAACATGGCTGATCTAAAATTGTCAGAAACAAAGAATTGAAACCTCTGACCTACCACTGTGTTCCATTAGTACTTGCTTTTCAAAGTAAGGATGACTATGTCCTAACTTTACGGTTGATCTTGTCGTAAACTTCTGGGAAGGCTCTCTCACAGTTATCAAGTTTCCTCCTCATTTGATCATACAGGCTGTGATCAAACATCTTGCGAAACTCCTGTCTTGTCATGTAAGTGTCCGCATACAGCATCTGGAACCTGATGAATTAACAGTGGTATAAGATTGAATTGTAAATTACTGGAAAAAATAAACAAAACATGAACTTCCTTACCCAGCTACAAATTCAGAACTTCTTTAACAAATTCTTGTAACCGTAGAAAGATTTTGAGAAACCTATATAAAAATATATCCAAGATGTCCTGAAGAAGCCCATATGTTTCAGGCAAAACCAGTAGATGAACAGTAATAAATAATATTTCAGAATCCAGAGCTTGTTGTGATTGCTGTTTACCCTTTAAAATAAATCCAAAATACAAATCCATGACTATTGAGTGCAAAAATTAATTCCAAGATTGTGTTCATAGACCTTTAATACAATGCCATCATACCCATTGACTTTTGTAACATAAGCTTCCAGTCGTCGTGTGGTGGGTACAGCATCGAAGTTGATTGCCTTGGGAGAACCGTAAGCTCCTATATCCACATACATCTCATCCTGATCACCTTTAGGATGAACCATACCAGGGTTGTTGTACAGTTTGAAGGGACACAGCCACAGAGGGTACATCTAAACAAAGTTTGAAACAGTTATTATATTCTGATGTCGGCTGTGTTTTCAGTATATAACTCTGAATTTCTTTTTAAGCCTCACTCTTCTGCCCCCTTGAGGGCCAGACCGTTGGTTTATACAAATTCATGTTCATTTCTCCTCAGGATGTCCTAAACTAAATTTGTCCAAAAACCCCTTAAACCAAACTGAGATATGATTTTAAAGATTTACCTCTATTTAAAATTTCTAAAGTTCATTTGGCACTTTTGGTCAGATGAGATCATAATTGCTGCATTCACCAGATATCATATTTTATAGAAAAATATCAATTTGTCAAAATCAGAAAGTTTTATCAAGTAAGTTGGCAAGATCTCTTTGATAAGTATAACAAACTCGATTACTTGAAAAACAAAATAGCATCTAACTGTGTACCATCGGTTAAAAAGGGAATTCATCAAATTAAAATTCCCCACTAAATGTGAAATTATATGCCAAGAATGTATAGCAAGCGAACCAATGTCCTAAGTAAGAAGTTCCAATGACTAGTAGTGTATGAGATAGAGCCTGGATAATTTCCAGTGACCAAAATGAATCAATACCCCAAGTATGAAGTTTTAGTGACAATTACTGTAGCAAGGAGAGCTCACATAAAATGGAAAGACAGAAAGACAAAATGCAAAACTATAGTCCACCTCCTGTTTCCAGTTGGGGACTTATAATACTCCCTCATCATTAAATATATCGAAAGCACTGGCAAATCTAAATGAAAGTTCTGAGCACAGACAAATTTTATGGAATTCATAGAATTTTCTGGAAATACTTAAATTTGACATTGTGGGGCCCATGGTGTTTAGCATTAACACTGAGAAAGACTTGTTTTATAGAATTGTAGATCGATCACTGATAAAGTATACTATACCTTGATTTCTTCATGGAAGACCCCAAGAGCCTCCTTGAGTGACGCCATAGGGACCAACATGTCTTGAATAATCTGGTACTTTTCGTACATTCGTTTGGTTGTCTCCCCTTGAGTCAGTTTCAGCAGAGAAATCTTTGGTGGTACACTCCAGCCGAAAAGATACCGAAACACAGGATTGTTCCCAAATGGAATGATATCCTAAGAGCAGAAAGTGAAATCATTGCATCACAAGGAATTACCTGGTAATGTACTCTTAATAAATGACACAATTCTGTTCTCATTAATGCACCAAATGAAGTGGTGATATCACCATGATGAGCAGAAATTTAGGATGACCTACTTGTAGTTCCCAGAAGATGCTCCGTGTGTGCCGATGATAGTAGTGCCTGATTGGAATGTATTCTACATCTGATCCTTTTTGCAAAAAGTCTTCCACATGCTTGAAGAACCATGGCTTCCAGAAATACCCAATAGGGTTAATCTACAAAGTGTCATTCTGATGGTTAACACTAATTTATCTCATCTTTCGTCTCATGCTTGGAAATATTTTCACATTTTCTTGAATACACGTGCAAGTTTCAAAATAACTTTGTAGAATTTCTTAATAGTATTTTATTTACCACAAGGGCCTCACCTTTCAATTGAATTCGTGCAAACCAATAAAACAAGTACTAAAGAGCTATATAGGTATATTGAAGATTTTACACCAGCAATGCCATGATCACTGACTCAGATACGAACTTTTTCGAGACAAAATATACAATAAAATAACCTTTCATAAGTCTTAACCTTAGTAGGCCATTTAATGTTATCACCTTATCAATATCAGCTTCATCCGTGAGGTTTCCAGTCATAATAACAGCAGTGTCTTTAGAGTATACCAGCCCTTCCACAAACTGGTTATTTTGTTTTTTCATAGTTTCCTTTTCAAATGTTTTGATCATGTCATCAGTTGTGTAAACAGGGGTGTACTCCATCCTTATAAACCTTTTTGCTGGAATTATTTTCAGCTCTGCAGAAACCAGGAATCCGAGTGTACCATAGGACCAGGGAACAGAGTAAAATAGCTCTCTGTTGTGAGTCTGTGCAAGTAAAGGTTTCATTGATAAAACTGTTATTATTTAACTAACATTTATTTCTAGTCAGGTAAACAAGACAAATTTACTGAATACATCTATCATAACAAAACTTCTTATTTAAATTTTCCAATGGCACTGCATAAATATTGGACTGAAGGAAAAATGTAAAGCTTAAAACTGTCTTCCTCTTGAAGAAAAATTCATGAACAGTGGGCCTGTGATACAAACAAATATAAACTACATAAAATAGAACAATGTATTAACAAAGCATTGTGAGAAATAAAACTTTAATTAAAATATAACAAAAATGTTATCAAATTGTTCTATAGGATGAAGAAAATCAAGTATGGTGTAACTTGTTTCCGCTCATGCTTATAAACAAGAAGTGTGACAAATATGTAGTAAAAAGTAAATAAAGCACTGTTATTTTTCATAATATGTTTTATTATTTACCTCTGAGCACTTGACTACACTGCCATCTGCCATGACCAGCTCATAGCCTACACAACAGTGCTGGAACAGACCATGTTTGTGTGATGATGTCTCTATGCCTACTCCCATAATCAAACCACCTGTAACAACCAGATTAACATGTCATGTCTCAACGTTACTCCTTCTTCAGTTGTAATGAAAATTACATATGCCCTTTAACCAAGCCTAAAGGTAACATGCATTAAATATACACCTTTAAGAAAACATTGCAGTTGGGATATATACCCAAAACCAGCCTCAACTTATGGGAATGAATGTATTGATCAGCAAACCAGTGGCTCGCTTGAATTTCATGGATTGAAAACCAGTATCTTTAGTGATCGAGTAAAAAAAGTTAATTATACCTCAAAACCAGATGTTGTATAGTCAGCATACAAATCTGCATCTCCTTTACAAATTTAAGTGAAAATTGACAATCACTAGATTTAAACCAATTAGAAAATATGCTTAGTTTATGATTTTCTTTAAGTCATTTTCTTTTTTAAATAACATTAATATTTGCAAGATTTTTCTTGTGAATCCAGCGCACCATTTCCAACATTTTGATGAGTTTAGTTTTAATCAAATTTAGTGGATTTTCAAAATTTGAATCAGTCACACAAAATGCATGAGTCCAGGATTCAAACATTTGTGTCCCTAAAATCACATGACAAATTAGTATACCAAAAACATTATCCAATACAGTTAACATGTACACTGGTTTTTCCCAAATTCCATTCAAGGTAACTAATGGAAAACAAAGCTGCTGATTATTGATAACTCCTTACAATACATACCCACGGTGAGATCATCCAATTCCGGTAAGACAGGTAAGGTCCATCCAAGAGGGTTCAGGAAAGCTGATATCTGACCCATACTGACCAATGGTTCGACTCGGACCGTCTGATTTACAGAATCAATTTCCAGGATATCCACTAAATTAACTTTTATCTTACGACTACTTTGTTTGTAGAGACCTTGTCGAAAGCTGATTGTCATCCATCCTGGACGAGCAGTACACATTTGCCTTAAGCAGCCATCACTATCCCATTTCTTAACCTGTAAATCATGATTTATAAAACTCCTTTACATATTTCTTTTCTATAAACAACAAATATTTATAAGAATAGTATAGTACTGTCATGTGAATTCAAATCAACCACAAATAATTGGCTACGCCTTCTTGCCTTTTTTGGCTTTGGCTGCAAAGTCCAAACTTGCACGTCTTACATTGAAAAAATGATGATTTATCAATCATCCCTTTTGACAACTCATTTTCAATTTTATTTGAATAGAGAGTTGTAGACCAAAAGTTGAAAAATCAACTTTATTTAAATAGTTTGTGTTTTAAAAAAGAAACTTACTGAGAAATATTGCTCATTTGCAAAAACAGGATCAAACAATAAAAACTTAAATCTAACCCTTTAGAAATGGTGCACACATAAACACAGATATCCATCACTTTCACAATATCAATGTATTTTGATTTTTATTTTCATCAAAATGTTATTCCCGTTCAAACGATGATTTTATGAAATATATGTGTACTTCTGGGTCACCTTATGCTAACAAGCGTCTCTGTGATTTAGTGATGTTATCAGAAACAGAAGTGCAGTTACATGTCCGATACTTTTACGAATTTAATGTTGTATCTGTATATATTTTTTTCGTGAAAATATTGGTATATAACAGACCAGTTTTTCTTATAATATGATAATATATTACAATCTTATAATATGAACATATTTCAAGCCATTTACGTATTTGTTTGGTGGCAGTTTATCAACATTGCGTATCTAGCGGAAAATTATTCTTAAGGGGTCATAAACTAATGCGCCAAGGATATATATAATGCACTGAAAAAATATTTTTCGTATATACACAGTGCAGATAATACTGAAAAATACCTGTCTCTGAACATCTTTCACTTTCTTGTCGTGCTGTTTTGGGGCTGAATTCATCTTGAAGACGATCCAATTTCGAAAATACATGAAGAAATCGTAGACAACTGACATTGGCAACAGAAACAGACAGACGAATACCCATCGGTAATTTTTTATGACATATTCTAAACCCCGATAATTGATCCATCCAATTAGTGACACTAACGCCGAAATGCCGATAAAGACAACGCTCTCCAAAGAAAATTCAATCGCCATAACGCCGCCTTGCCGGCTTCCACAACGAAACACCTGTCAATCCGGGATCACGACTTGTCGCTGGTGTAAAGGTCAATTCAGGTCAAGGCTACAAGGTCGCGTCGTTGACAACTTCCGTCATTTCGGAACTTATCGGATATTTAGTCTTCATTTTCCATACATATAATGTTCCGAAATACCGCGGGAACACCCCATTATTTTCCCGCCACTCAAACACATGTACCCTTGTTTTGACTGATAGGTTGCTGTAGGACGGACATCTTACAAATTTGTTTGATCTCCGAATCTGAGCAATGTGGATTCAAGTCAGAAGTTTCGATGGGAAGATTTCGATGCAAGTTGACAACTTGTCGAAGTTGACGAAAATTGAAGATTTGCGAGAGCGACTTGTTGCAAAGTTCAATGCCCCAACTGATAGACAACGCTTATTTTACAGAGGGAAACAGGTGATTTGTTCACTATTTATACCTACTAGGCTATCAGGAAACAGTTCATAATGACTTAGTCAAAGACAGGATTGTCGTTTTCGTTATCACATTGCATAATGAATGTTAAGTGCTAATTACATCACGCATCAAATGTTAGGTATGTTGTCAAAAATACTAGCAGCTACAGTAAATAAATTGACTTGTTTATTCAACAAATGAGATACTTCACATTGAATCAAATACAATACACGTGGCAAATTCCATTGGAAAATTTAATTAGAGGGTTGGAAGGCCATTGGCCATTACGCAAACTCATTACTGTCCATAAAGTTATTAGTTATTACAGGGACGTATATATACGTCCCTGGTTATTACTATAATGTTACATAATATAGGGCTGACATTAAAAAAGACACCAATTTGAATTCCTTGGGAACTTGTCAATAGTCCGAAGAATGCAAAAAATCAAGTGATCAGAGCACTAGTGTTTGCTAATGGCAATCAATACATTTCTTTTTCAGCAGGAGGATTATAGGCAATTTAATCGCAAGCACCGTATATATTAATTAAACTGTTAAAACAACAGGTCTAATGTATAGCACTTTGTTTGCTGATGGAAAAGAAAGTATTTATATATAATCTGTTATATACCCAATTTTTTCTTCTACAAGTTAATTGCCTGTGACTGAACAGTAGAAAGTTGAGTATTATCATAAAGCGCTTCTCTTTAGCTGGAAGTGAAGTACAAGTCATCATATCTGGTTCAAACTGAAGAAGAGATTGAATGGACATAACAGTAAACCCTTGTAGATAAAATGCAAGGCATAATATCACTTGGCTTGAGAGAATTTCTTTCTACTTGATCATTTAAGCACAAGTATACATGGTCCAGTCCCTAGTTGAGGCATTGAAAAGATAATTATATAATCACCTTGATTAACTGACGGCTACTTTCATTGATAACTGCTTGTTTTTTGTTTCATTTATCTCTGATTTTTATAATATTATGGCTAGTTTCAAAATGAAGCAGCCAACATCAGGTATAAGTAAGTGGGTGTTTGGTGGGGACTTCACTGTGAGTATGGATACTCTAAAGTTGTGGAGGTAAATTAAACAAAGACTAAGAAGTATATATGAAGAGGCTATTAATCACAACATACTCGCACATTACTGATTAAGAGAGTGTTGACTTTATTGTCGACTAGTTTCGCCTCTGTCACAGAGGCTTCTTCAGGACGTATAATTGCAAGTTGTAATTTCAGTATAATTCTGTGGCAATTAACCAGGTTGTGAACATTTTTTCCCAGTTGACAGATGGACATTCACTGTTTGACTACAATGTTGGCCTGAATGACCTGATACAGATCTTGGTTAGACAAGATGCACCATCCGAAAAAGTCACATCTCAAATCAATGGCTACAACAGTGGTGGAGAGGAGAGTTCTGCCTCAGACAAGGAAAATAAAAGGGTACTTAGAAAAATTACTTATAGCAACAATTAATAAGTATTATTAAGTATGTAAAAATTTCATTTTAGCTTAGGCAAGTGTCATTTCATTCTTTGATGACCCACATGATGTTATTAGCCCACCTTCGTATGTGAGCTGTTCAAATTGGCCAGCATCCTTGTTATTGCCATTTCTTGAGTAGTACTTGATGGATCATTCTCATGTAGGTTTCCCATGTTTCCATGTTATGAATTGTACAATGTGGGACTGATCACAAAAGTGAAATGGCTAACAGGTTTTTCTTCTTTATTGATCCAATTTTCGCAGAACATAACATAGCTGTTGCATTCGAAGGCACCAAGATCTGATCATAAACCCTTTAATTAACTTCATACAGAAATAGAAATATAGGAAAATATCTGAATTCTCAAAGTATAAACATGTATGTTATTCCATTAGTAACTATCAGTTTTTCATGGTAATTATAGCCCTTGACGCCAGATGCTGGGGTTGCTTCGACATCAAATGAAGAAGTGGAGAGTAAAGAAATTGTAGAAGATTTACAATCTACATATAAGGTATGTTCTAAGGACTTTGTCGATTGTAATCAAATGATGGATTATATTACATTGTTTAATTTCATCTTTAACACATTATTTTGTTTGCTGTGTTGAAAAATGTGGTAGAAAACTTTTGTGAGAGATATCCATGAAACAGAAAGTTTAATTTTCAAAGTCTTTAGACTGCTTACATCTTTTAAAACACTTACTTTCAGAAAGTCTAAATATATATATATATACATTTTCCAGTAGTTATGGATATTGTTAACACACTGCTGATATTTGTACTACAAAAGGTCCATCTTATAATTAAGAATTGTTACTTGGTGTCATTTTCAGGTTGGAGACATAATTGATGCAAGAGATACTTCAGTAGGAGCATGGTTTGAGGCAAAAATTGTGAAAATTGTGGTAGACACTGGGAAAAAAGTGGAGAAAGTAGCTGAACCTAACAATAATGACAATACAGTGATTGGAACTGAACACAACAATAACCTTTTGAGTGAAAAACTTAGAGATTCTAGTGAACAAACAGGCAGTCATGACACTGGTGACAATTCTATGGAGGTGGATGACAACAGCGAAAAAACAGACAAAATAAAAACAGACAAAAACTTTGAGGAAATAGACAATTTAAATGATGGTTTTGTTTATCATGTTGTTTTTGAAGGGTAAGTAAGTAAACCATTGCTGAATAGATCATACTGAGGAAGCTTCTCAGTTGTGATGAGAAATTCATAACTTGTTCATAACTATTATTTAAAAGTGATAGTATGTTTAATAGAGACTGTACACAGAAGTATTACTATAACTTTGTATCTTAGCTTTGGGTGTGTCTTTTGGTGAAACATTTTGATTACTCTTGAGTATGTGCATTTGACTTACCATATGCTCAATGACAAAGCCACCAGTAGCTACAGGGAGCTCCTTTTAAATGATCCTGGCTGCGGAGTGATCTACCAGCAAACTAACAAAGTCTTTTGCTAAAGATTCAAATTAATGAGTTTAAAATTTACTTAAGCATTCGTTTAACAAGTCTTCCTTACCTGTCACACAAATATGCTTGCTAATGAATTAACTTAATGTGTTTATTTTGTATTATTTTACTTAACACAACACTGTAAAATTATACAAATATAAAGATACTTGTATAGTTCAACCTGAATTAGTCCTAGAATTGTATTTCCTTGTGTGATAAGACTATTTTAAATCCACTTATAAGGAATAGTAATCAAAAAGGTATTGAAGAAAACTAGGCTTGCAGATATACAATAATCATTTTGTTTGGAAATGTAAAGTTCACTTTGTATTTGTATAAAAGGTCATTGTAGACTGTTTTATTGGTAAATGAATTTTCCTTACTGTTATTATGTTACCTTATCACAATTTTAGATATGAAGATACAGATGCAGAGGAGCTTACATGTGGAAGAATCCGTCCACGTGCGAAGACAATTTTAAAACTTTCAGAAGTTAAAGAAGGACAAAAAGTTATGATAAATTACAATGTTGATGATCCAGACCAGCGTGGGTTCTGGTACGACGCTATTATCACCAAGAAACAGGACACCAGAACAATCAAGAAAATTTTAGCAACAGTTTTCATAGGGTAAGAAAAGGATGCAAGAGTACATATTGTTTGAAAATAGCAAAGACCAGAAGAGTGAAAAAAATATTACTGTTTCTTGTGGACTGAGTCATTTATATTGCTATTCTTACAGTACAAGCTGTTAAATACAATTTTTAATTGAAAAGCATTTTTTCCTGATAAAATAACAAATTTTATATCTACAAAGTTACTTCTTGTATTATTTTGCATAAAAACATCTACATGGAGCAAAAAGATATTTATTGTAGCTGAGGAGCTTACAAAATGAACTGAAAGAAATAATCCTTCTTTTGATATGAACATCAAAATTTGGATCTACAGTGAAAAGTTGCTCAAGAATATTTATATTTTGCATCAAATTAATAAAAGAAATTGCAATGAGAAAGCCACAGGTGTTGATTATAGTTCAGAAGCTTGCAGTTATGATTAATTTTTTTCTATCCAGCCCTGACCTCATGCCTCTTGATGACTGCAACATTCTATTTTTGAATGAAATATTTGAAATTGAAAAAGCTGGTACACAACTTAATGTGGAAGATGTTACTAAAGATCCGTCACAATCACCTGTGAAACGTAAGTTAGCGTATGTTACCATGGGAAATCATCTGCCAGAAAGCAATTTTACAAACTTTTATGGTGAACTTTATCAATTGTTTACTGTTGAGTAGCAACCAAATAAATGTATATAAAACATAAGACCCAACCTTTACGGTGCTTGTCATTGCACAACTTTTCCTCACATGATGAGAGGCATTTGATTATTTTCATTGTTTTATCTGCAGGTCAGAACAAGCCAGATTGTAGTCATTGCATGGACAACCCTCGTAGGAAATGTAAGCACTGTGCTTGTTGTGTGTGTGGTGGTAAGAACGACCCTGACAAACAGATCCTCTGTGATGAGTGTGACCAGGCCTACCATCTCCAGTGTATGAACCCTCCGCTCGACAGTATTCCTGAGGACGATGAGTGGTAGGTTTTTATACAGTCCAATGACAAGGAGGAGGCAGCTCCAAATTGGGAAAACAGCATGTTCATGTGTATTTTAATTTTGATCAAATTTTGAATTCATTATGATATTACCCTTAACACTGCAATTTTTTTAGGGAGCCTTGAAAATGTTTAATCGCACATGAAATGATACTTCATCTGATGTGTTCATTATTAAAACCAAATTTTTACAATTTTCTATTTGATATCATGTTATCTAATAGGATACTATCTGGTCTTTCATTGACTTCTGTGCATCTGCACATGTGAAAATTACTTCAAAACAAAATGAAGAGCAATTTCTATGATGTAGCAGAAAGATTACGTTAAAGTGCTTTTACTTCACCTTGTAGTCTTTGTAACACTGATATACTGTTTCACTCTTTGTAGCAGTATACATTTTCTTAAACCCATACCATGAAAGTGACTAGCCAAAAATCTCTCTCCGCATGAATTTGCAGTATACTAATCTTAAATATTCCTCAGAAAAGTATACCTTTTGATAAGACAGAATTTAGATGTGTCTAGAGGGCAAATTACCTCACAAGTGGTGATAAGTTTTTGTAGCAACAAGTTTGGCTTCAATTCGGAATAATGAAAGAGTGATTTAAGATCAATGAGTTGTACATGTATGTGTAATATAATCTCCAGAAGGTTGGTTGGAGTTCATTAGATGTATCTGATATACGCCGAAATTTTTCAAACACATATTACAAAAAATCAAAAAGTTTGAAAACCAAATATCTGGTATCCTGTATACATGATGGAAAACATGTTTCAGTACACATTGATGAATTTATTTACACACAGATACTTTTACAGGTATTGTCCAGATTGTAAAACAGACAGTGATGCAATTGTAAAAGCTGGTGAGAAGTTAAAAGAAAGCAAAAAGAAAGCCAGGATGGCATCATCAACAAACTCCACGAGTCGAGACTGGGGGAGGGTAAGGTTCTGTATTAATATCTATACAACACGAGACTGGGGCAGGGTAAGGTTCTGTATTAATATCTATACAAGACAAGATTAGGGCAGGGTAAGGTTCTGTATTAATATCTATACAACACGAGACTGGGGCAGGGTAAGGTTCAGTATTAATATCTATACAAGACAAGATTAGGGCAGGGTAAGGTTCTGTATTAATATCTATACAAGGCAAGATTAGGGCAGGGTAAGGTTCTGTATTAATATCTATACAAGGCAAGATTAGGGCAGGGTAAGGTTCTGTATTAATATCTATACAAGACGAGAATGGGGCAGGGTAAGGTTCTGTATTAATATCTATACAAGACGAGACTGGGGCAGGGTAAGGTTCTGTATTAATATCTATACAAGACGAGATTGGGGCAGGGTAAGGTTCTGTATTAATATCTATACAAGACAAGATTGGGGCAGGGTAAGGTTGGATAGTAATAACTTTTTTTGTGTTATCAACTACCTTGGACACTTTGTAGTTCTTTAATTTCTTGAAGCCAATTTTTAGGTTTGTCCTTGTTGTTGAGAGTTGACAGCTATTTAATGATGCATTAGACTGTGAATATAGTTAAATTAAATCTTCTGCAAGTAGTACCATTAGGACCAAATTAAATCTTCTGCAAGTAGTACCATTAGGACCAAATTAAAACTTCTGCAAGTAGTACCATTAGGACCATAATGCATATGTGTTAAGAATAAGATTAGATTGATTTTGAAGCCTATGTTATATTTTTATGAACAAGAATATGTTCATGGAAGGGACTATCTTTAGTGCAGAATTAAAGGTAGGAAATCTCACTATTTCAGGGAATGGCTTGTGTGGGCCGACAGAATGTGTGCACAGTTGTTCCAGCAAATCATTTTGGGTCCATTCCTGGTGTAGAGGTTGGCACCCTGTGGAAGTTCAGGGTTCAGGTAAGTATTCATTTATTCAGACAAAGTTTTAGAGTTAAAATAAAGATTAAAATTTGTTTAAAAGTTGTACCCCAAGATAAGTTGGGGGGAAAAAACTTTGATATTTCTAAGAATAAACTAATTTTGAAATCACTTGTATTGAATTGGATTTCCATAATTCTTATTATCTATATCCACTACACTTCACTACACTAACCACACTGCCCTAAAGGACAGAAACTTGTACTAAATGTTATCTATATCACTACACTAACCACACTGCCCTAAAGGACAGAAACTTGTACTAAATGTTATTTATATCACTACACTAACCACACTGTCCTAAAGGACAGAAACTTGTACTAAATGTTATTTATATCACTACACATATCCACTACACTAACCACACTGCCCAAAAGGACAGAAACTTGTATTAGGTATTGTATTCCAGATAGCTTTGAAGCTTTTATTTAATCATTGGAGATAAGAATACTGTGTTACATGTCTTAATAGGTTAGCGAGGCTGGAGTACACAGACCACATGTGGCTGGTATCCATGGACGTGAAGATGTTGGAGCATTTTCTATTGTACTTTCTGGAGGCTATGAAGATGACAAGGTACAATTTCCTCACCTTATTGTTAATAATTATCAGCCATTTAGGTGTTCTGTGACTATGAATTGTTGTATTCTTTAAATGATTTGATAACCTGAACACTTTTTCTCACTAGCCCTGATCAAAACTAATACTGAAATAAAGTATAAAAATAGTACAGAAAAAAGTACAAAAATAGACTTTTTTCGGCTGAATTTTGAACTGAAAATTCAACATCCCAAATTGAGGCCAAAAAAGTTCATTTGTACAAAAAAGGCTAATAACAGTATACTTTTGGTATATTTGATAATACCACAGATCAAGTACATAAATAGTACAGAAATAGTATCATAAAAGTACAAAAATCATACAAAGTATTGAAAAAGCACAGACCAAAATGAGTGTACTTAATTTGTACTTGTAAATACTTTTATAGTATTTTACAGGTAATTTCAGAAACCACACAAAAAGAACATAAATATGTCTTAACAAGTACTTTTGAAAGTCTCAAAAAGCACAAAATAGTCCAAATTTAGTACAAAAAATACCAGTTATGATGACTTGATTTGAAAAGTACAAAAAAGGTATACTTCTTGTACTTTTCAGAAAAAGTACACTAATGTATGTACTAAAAGCAACATTAAAGTATACTTTGGTGCACTTTTTTCAGTATGGGTAGCCCCACCTTTGGAAAATTTTTTAATTAACACTAAATCTCTGAAATTCATGGTTTCTTTAATAGAATTGATAAAATCTGTGTTGTTCAATAAAGCATGAAACATATGCATATGGTACTGTTTGTCTAGTTTCTGTACAATAAGTTGATAATTAACATGAAAGAAATTAATTAACATACATGTATACTACAAGGATACATGAATTTCATTGAAGTGGTACATAATACATAATCAAGTTGCATATTCAGACAGCTAATTACCATGACCCAATCAGGTCAAAGTGTTTTTTTTATATAAGCAAACTGAAATATACTTCAACTGTTAAATCATAAAGAACAAAATATAATGTTAAAACCTGAATACAACCATTTCAACAAAGAAGCTTCTGATTTTTTTACTTTCTAGATACATGTAATTCGTTCCTCCATCTCAATTTCCAGTAGGAAGCACTTTAGGCAACAATTAAATCTCATAGGAAAACCTGTGATAGAGTTGAAGTTTTAATTTATAAATTTTCAATGTTTCAAGTGTGAAGCCAACAAAAAATACTGAGAAAGGCAATGTTTGAATATTTGTCAAATATACATATCTGCATGTAACTAAAATATTAAATTATTCCATTTAGAAAGCCAACTTATTTTGATTAATAATGTTAGGTCACACCTATCAAAGGCTTAGCTCTAACCACAAATGATCTTGTTTCAATTACAAAATCATCAGGATTTGCTTGATTTGTAATTTAGACCCATAGATCCTAAAATCAAAATGACATTTTCACTTACTGTCTCTTCACAGAATTGTACACCCATGTCTAATATGTATAACAAAAATGGCAGGAATGAAGATCCTAAAGAAGCAGGTTGCTTGATGAAATACAACATTTAGACCATAATAGATACATGTGTCATTGGGACAAAATATATCATAATAAAGTCTGCCATATGTGTTTAGTCTTAAAGTGGAGGCATTACCCCATTTACATCTTGTTCTTAAGTGTTCTGCAGCTTTGAGTTTTATTGCCTATTGTTAAACAGTTTACAAGATAAAAATATTCTGTTAAGCGCAAAGAAAAAGTTATTTTAGAAAGAAGGAAAAGAGATAGAAATTTTCAAAAAAAGGAGCCTTATAACAACACTTTCATAGAATAAAAATTTATGGCAAAATACAAAAAAAATTCTTTTGTATGTTGTAATAAGTTGATTTTTATGTTGTAGGATGATGGAGAACAGTTTACTTACACAGGAAGTGGAGGTCGCGACCTTTCTGGAAATAAGCGTACAGCAGAACAGTCATGTGACCAGGTTCTGACACGCATGAATAAGTGGGTGTTTTGATAGTGTTGTCTGTACTGATCTTTCATGTTAAAATGAGTTGTCAGCATTGTGTATTATTTTGTCTTCCATTAGATAAGCCCCAACTTGCATATCAGCTCTGTCCCCACTTTTAGATGTCTTCTAGGAATGCTTGCAATTATGACACCAACCAAAGGGGAGGGATGATCATCCAGTTACAGGTCAACAGTCCCTTGCAAAAAAGAAATTGACAAAAGAAAAATTATTCATGCATGTTATCTTTTAAATTTGGTTTAAAATATTGTTTGGACCAGCCATATCGTGATAATTATGTCTGAAACAGGCTATCATCTAGACACCATTTTTAGCTGTTGTTTCTTCAGCCATTCTTTCAATTCATCATGATATGCTTGGGCCATGATAAAGATAATCAATGTAATTATTGGTCAGTTTAAAGAGATATCTTGCCTCAAATTTTGTCAAATGATTCACAGTTTGTGGTCTACCTGTGAGAGCTAGTACATCACATCATGTACTCATTGTCTTGCCAGATACTTCCTGTCTTCATCACCATCGAAGCCATTCATTTTTATATAGTTTCATTCATTGGTGTAAATATTTCCAACCATTTTCTATCATTGGAATTGCTGTCAGCAAAGCAAAGATACACGCCCTGTGAAGATATTTTGACCTGTTCATTTTCATCTTTTGCCTTTACTAAGACTTACTGCCAAGAATATTGAAAATGTCACGTAAGAACCGATTTTAAGTACTCTACTTTTGTTTTGTGACCTAAATATCAAGACATGCAGACTTTCTACTTCTTGACTGCTGATTGAAATATGTACCAATCTAGGATCAAGTTTTTACGCATCATAGGGTGGGGGCCATCCATTATTTTTTTGTCCACCATTATCGGATAGTGGGCTGTTCAAATTGCCCTGTGTCCATCGTCCATCCTTGTCTCTTTTTCTAGAAAAGTGTTTAATGGATCATTTTCAAATTTTCTCTATGTTCACCTTGGTCCGTTGTTATGTATACTGACATCATGTTTATTTCCACATTGGGTTATTTTCTCTTTCAATGTACCTTCACATATCTAATGTATACTTTGATATCAGTAATATGTCTAAAACTCATACACAAATGACTTCCACATATTTCATGTAAATTTCCCCAACGTGTAAATTTCCACATTTACGGTAATGAAACTTCACAAAAGTATAGATGACCATAATACATTAAACATTAGTATTGATTGTCATACTTATTTTATTGCATGGTTTCGTTAAAATTAGTCACAACTTTATGAATCCCTACAGTATAATAGCTTGTGGGAGCTTATAGGGGACTTGTTTTGCAACACTAAGTATGCTAGTTTTTTTATATCATCAACTTTAACATAACAGGTAATTAACAACAGATAGCAATATCTAACTTATCAAACAGTTATCAATAATAGCTGTCATCTGGGGTCAACTTAAGGTTTCTGTTTCTACTGTTATTACAGAGCTCTTGCTAAGAACTGCAATGCCACCATAGACAACAAGAAGGGTGCTTGTTCTGAAGAATGGAAGAAAGGGAAGCCAGTGCGTGTCGTACGCAACTGTAAGGGAAGGAAACACTCCAAGTATGCCCCAGAGGAAGGCAACCGCTATGATGGTATTTACAAGGTATGTATTATCGGTAATTTATACATTAGTATTTTAATGATGTGTGCTGCTTTCATAAATATTTGACTGGTGTGTGAGTGTGGGACTGGTGTGTTTGGGGATCATCAGTGTTTGACTAGCATGTGTGGAAATCATTGGTGTTTGACTGTGATGTGTGGGAATCATTGATGTTTGACTGTGATGTGTGGGAATCATTGGTATTTGACTGTGATGTGTGGGAATCATTGGTGTTTGACTGTGATGTGTTGGAATCATTGATATTTGACTGGCATGGTTGAGATTCATTGGTGTTTGACTGGCGTGCTTTGGAATTCTGGGTGTTTGGCATGCAAAGGGATCATCAGTGTTTGAATGGCATGTGTAGGATTAATTGGTATTTTACTGGCATTTGTGGGAATTATCAGTGTTTGACTAGTGTTTGTAGTATCAATGAGTGTTTCAGGCTTTTTTGTTGAGTACAGTATAGATGTTTTGATTAGTGTTGGGAATGTGATGTCATGTCATTTTGATGATTGTTTCTGTACAACGACCAATCATTAGTCAGCGAAACCTTTGCCCTAAAAATTGGATATTTGACTGGCTTTATAAATATAGATTTGATACAACACTCGCTTTTATTGGCAATGATTATCAGAGAGGGTGGGATATTAGAATCACCCTACATCCTGGTTTCTCTTCCCTCCATCAGTAAACAGGTCTCAATATCACTGTGATGTTAACTGAGAGATACCTGATAGACATTTCTCTAATTTGATATGTAGTTTCTCATTTGTCCCTAGTTAAATTGCACCCCTTGATTTTTGGACTGATATAAAACCAGACGTGACAGGCAGCCATTTTTTTATTTTGACAATTGAGAGTTGGTTTTGTAAAAAAAATACTGGATAGATCTTTGTCAAATTTCATATGCAGGTTCCTTTTGTTTCCTAGTTGTGCCTTTCTGATTCTGGGTCTAATCAGAAAAAACAAAATGGCCAACAGGTGACCATCATGGATTTGGCAGTTATAGGTTACTGTTGCTATTTGTCAAGGAATTTGTAATTTAAAACAAAAAACATAGGAAGAGGAGAACTGAAGAGAAAAGATCCAACTTTTAAGAAATAAATAAATAGTGATGCCAAAATCCCTCAGAGGTCTCCTGTTAATTAAATCATGCATATGATGACCAGAGATATTTGGTCTGAAGTTCTAGGACTAAATCTCAAAATCCCTTTAACAAAGTGTCAATATCGGACTGAAATTACACCAAAACTGAAAATATTACCCCTGCATTACATGATTAATATCTGATGTACAACAGAGACTATGTCATCAAACCTGACATTCTCAGAAATGCTAACTTAGAAAAAATTTTAAATGTGAATTCAAAAGAAATCTAAACAAGCACCATTTCCGTCAATGATGAAATGGAATTAATTCGAAATTTAAGAGATTTAAGGGAAAAAAATATTTATTGAAACAAAAAGAGAAATTTTAAGTAATATTACCAATTTAAAATGAGACATTTAGAAACTGAATGACCTGTTTAAGATTTGACACTGTACAAATCTGCAATACAAAGGTAAAAATGTTATTGATTCTGACTTTTGGTTTGCCTAGATAACCAAATACTGGCCAGAGAAAGGGAAATCTGGTTTCCTTGTCTGGAGGTACCTCTTAAAGAGAGATGACCCAACTCCAGCTCCCTGGACAAAAGCTGGCAAGAAGCGTATTGAAGAACTAGGCTTGGAAATGCAGGTAAGATTATATACACTAAGTTTGGTATTGTGCAAATCTATTCACGCATTTCTCAGGGCTAAGAATCATGATATTTGCATGGAAGATTGCTAGGATGAATGCTGAGGAAATTTACACAAAGAAATAACCTTGCCCCATATTCAAGTACAAAATTTTTACTTTTTTTTTTCTTTTACTCAAATAACCACTCACCTAGAATTACTTCTCCATGGCGGCTCATTGACTGGGCAGCTTTTTGGTTAATCATGGTAGGTTCCTGGGATGAGGCCTGATGAAGTTAATGAAAATAATATCTTGATTCATATTCAAGTCATATTTGTTAAATTTTTCATATGACTTCCTCTGCTCAGCTGAAAATCCTATAATCATGATATCTTACAGGTAAATGGATAAAATTGATAGATTTATATGACAGGTAAATGGATAAAATTGATAGATTTATCTGACAGGTAAATGGATAAATTTGATAGATTTGCTTTGGAAAGCAATGACATATATTTAAAAAAAAAAAAAACCAAAAAAACATCAATTACCAAGTCAGTGATGCAGGCCCATTGCACCTCTTGCTTAAAATAACATTGGTATTTCCTCCAACTGTTATTCATAAAGTTGGTGATCTAAAACTGTATCTGAATGTGAAAAGTGATTGTATACCTGCATGTTTCTAAAGTATCCTGCTGGGTATCTGGAGGCCATGGCGAAGAAAGAGGAGGAAGAGGAAACATCAGGATCCTCTTCTGGGAAGAAGAGAAAAGGCAAGAGGAAGAGAAGTGACTCTGGTATGTACTCCATACTAAGTGAGGAAACAAACTTACTTGGGTACATACATATTAATATTGAAATGAGGGAATATCCCAAATAATATATCCAAATATTTAAAAGATTTATTCAATCAGGAAAGGATTAACACTTAACACTTTCTAGACCAGACAACAACAACTAGGTAATATATTAATAGGAAATAATCTTCACAAAACAGGACATTGCATTCAACTTAAAATATTAATGATCACTAAATCTATTATACCTTTCATTTGGAATCCAAACTGTTCTGATGTATTTATCATAGACTGATACAACAGAAAGATGACTTGATCAGCTGATTATTCTGTAGTCTTAAAACTCAACAATACATTGGTTTAAATGTCTCCTGCTAGATGCTTTCAAAGTATCCTATTGGCAATGTTAAACTTCACATCCTTCAAATGAAAAAAGATATTTTTGTCTGGAATATCAAATTATTGGCACCATTGAACTATCCATTAGAGTTTCTTTGCAGATACACATTTTTCAGTTTCTTTTCAAAACTGACATGTATTTAGGTGTACATGCCAGAAACAAGGACGCAAACAATTCAAATTTTAATGTATTGATTTGAATTATCACAGATAATGACTTGGAATTTGTCTAGGAATGTCTTTACACATAATCTGACAGCATTGCTTTGCCCATAACCCACTGAAACATTGAAAAAATTATTCATCTTTTGTCCAGATTCCTCACCAGGTGGCACTCCAGAGAAGAAACAGAAGGTGGCCAAATACAAAATAGACTCGGCACAGCTACAGCTCATCAAACAGGATGAAATTAACAAAAAGCTGTGGGAGGATGCTATGTTACTTACCAAGGAGGGGGGACAGGTAAGTGACATGGAAGCATTTAAATTTAAAGGTCAGGTTTAGGTTTAACATGTTCACTATCATTCTTGGTATGAAGACAAAACTCCGAAGAACTGCAACACAATCTATTATGTGTATAGAGTGAAATGAGCTATTCTCTGGAAAAGTTATTTCAGTGTGAAGACAATATTTGCTGTGGAAATATATTGGTAACTGGAAAAACACTGTCTAGCTGTTGGCCATATTTAGTTTCATGATTTTTGTAGACAGGCATTCAGTAAGTGAGGCTATCAGATTTGAGATAACAGGATTTGATATCAGCATAACAGCCTTTTGTCATTTTTGGGATGCGTTTCTGTTTGATAGAATAATGTATGAAATAATATTGCTGTATTGTTACAGAAACTTCAATATATGACCTTACCTATACACAATTGGATAGGAAATACACGCTTCGTGACTTTACATCAATTCTTTTGCAGAAGTTTCTAGGGAAAGTAGAGGAGCTTTTCAATTGTATCTGTTGTCAGGAGGTTGTGTTCAAACCTGTCACAACTGTCTGCAACCATAATATCTGTAAGGTAAGTTTAATGTGTAACGTGTTGATACAGCAGGAAGCAATCTGGTGTCCTTTATCTCTAAAACTGAAGCATGTCTTTGGCAAGTTTGATTTTTAGGTTATCTGATGACCTATAGTCATCATGCTTTGTCTGTCATCATCCGCAGTGTGTAAACTTTTGACATTTCAAATTTCTCAAGTTCCACCACTTGGATTGAGCACAAACTTGCATGAAATGATCCTGAGATGATCCTGACCAAGTGTTGTTATTTTTCAGGCATGTCTGAAATCCAAGATGGCTGCCATGGCCACAATCTTGAAAAATATATTTTGAACTTCTTCTCCAGTTCCAATGGTGCCATTTACCTAAAGAAAAAATAGTGGGAATGTTAAAGAAAGATAGCCAACAAAGACAAAGTGTTGTTATTTTTCGACCTCGTCAAAACTTCGCTACAGCAGCCAGGGTGGCCAGTTTGTAACATGATTGCACAATCATGGTTTTCCTAAGCAATATCTATTTCACACTTTACTGGCAAAACATATGTAACACTTGTTACAGTTACCAACACTTAACCAAAACTACCTTTTGCATCATGGAAAACAGCTTCTTAGTAAGGTTTCATTCAAAGTAGAAAAAAAATAACCCTTCTCCCTACCGGAAGTTTTTGTAGTTTGATGATCGTTAAGGCCCATGAGCCTCTTGTTGAATTTTTCTTTTTTTTTTTTCTTTAAAAAAGCCAAATTGTTATTTAGGTACATTGGGACTGATTTCTGAAAGAGAAGATCATTGTTTTGTTAGTGTTAGTCTTTAATTGTCACAACAAACTCAATTGTCCTCACCTGCAAATTTCTTCTGAATTACAAAATATGAATTAAACATTAGGGTTTTGTCTGCATTGTTGTCTTATTAGTAATTTATATTTTGTTTCAGCCATGTTTACTCAGATCATTCAAAGCTGAGGTGTACAGCTGTCCTATGTGTCGAACTGACCTGAAGCAGGATGAGGATGAACTCAAAGTTAACAAAACACTGCGGACAATATTACAGAATTTCTTTCCTGGTTATGAAGCTGGCAGATAGATCAAACTAAATTTTTTATGTTATATTTGTTACTGTTGTTTCAATTTCTGGGTACTATCTATCTCTAGATACAAGGTGGATGGATCATTTTCTTGGTCTCGTAGCTCAGCTTAGTTAATGATCAAATTCAGTGTACATCTTTTTCAAACATTGATCAACCTTGTTTTCCCTTTTGAAAAAAAGAAAATGTGACTAACAACAAGGATGATCGCAAATTGTATTGAAATTTTTTTCTCAGCAGTGTTGACCAAAAGAAATGATGTCTGATGACTGTTTATGGTCATTAGTTAGTAACTAGCCTACGTGCAATGTTTGATCATTGTAGGTACTGTTAGAAAGGGAGGTAACAAGATTGTTGCCGATGTTCAGCTGAATCTGCAAACATTTTTATTGCGATAGATAAAACTTCTTTCAAACTGTGGTATTTCTTTTTTGTACTAGATAGCACAAAGAAGACATCTAATATACAAATATATTTTTTTATTCATCAAGTCACTCATAGTTGAAATACTAGTCTAGACACTTGTCTTGTTTACATCATTTTATGTGCCATTAACTCAAGGATCTCAAACATATGTCTTGAACGTGTACATGTCAATCTCACGTTTTAGTCTAGCTAGTATGCATTTGGACCTCACTATTAAGGCTGGTGTACATGTGAACCTCACTGTATAGGATAGTGTACATGTGAACCTCACTGTATAGGTTAGTGTACATGTGAACCTCACTGTATAGGATAGTGTACATGTGAACCTCACTGTATAGGTTAGTGTACATGTGAACCTCACTGTATAGGTTAGTGTACATGTGAACCTCACTGTTTAGGTTAGTGTACATGTGAACCTCACTGTATAGGATAGAGTTCATGTGAACCTCACTGTATAGGTTAGTGTACATGTGAACCTCACTGTATAGGTTAGTGTACATGTGAACCTCACTGTATAGGTTAGTGTACATGTGAACCTCACTGTATAGGTTAGTGTACATGTGAACCTCACTGTTTAGGTTAGTGTACATGTGAACCTCACTGTTTAGGTTAGTGTACATGTGAACATCACTGTATAGGTTAGTGTACATGTGAACCTCACTGTATAGGTTAGTGTACATGTGAACCTCACTGTTTAGGTTAGTGTACATGTGAACCTCACTGTATAGGTTAGTGTACATGTGAACCTCACTGTATAGGATAGTGTACATGTGAACATCACTGTATAGGTTAGTGTACATGTGAACCTCACTGTATAGGTTAGTGTACATGTGAACCTCACTGTATAGGTTAGTGTACTTGTGAACCTCACTCTAAAAAAGCGATAAAATAAACTTTTTGTTTGATCAGATTTGTTTTTAACTTGATTGTCACATTCCAGACAGATTAAGTAATGGCCAACTGTTTATAAAAAAGGAGATTAATCCCATATACATAATGTTGCTTTCTAGCTAGAACAAATGGGATAGACTAAATCAAATGGACTGTTTCAGTCAGATTATATGTATCCTGTAGTATAATGAGTATAGGTCAGAAATGTCACATATCAAAATCTTTTTATATTGTTCTCCTGAAAATGCTCACTCGCATAAAAATTGTATGCATGTATGGAGAAATAATTAAATGAAAATTCTTTACAAGAGTCCATCTTACCATGAGTGTAGATTTGGGTAAACTTCAGTTCTAATACATGATACGTCTTCAATTGTAATGATTCTCTCCACCTTCACCTAAACATAATGTCACAAACGAAACATTAAAAGTATGAACCTTAGGAAATAAGTACATGTAAATGTCATATTGTGGAAAATGTATGATTTCTGCCAATTTAAAGAACGATGCCACTGCTTCATGAAAAACAGGGAGGGTCATTTACTTCCTGCAAGAGATGGTGTCAGTCGTCATTTTGATTGCCTTTGTTAGATATCTTTCTATAGTGCTGTCAATACTGTCATATAATAGTAAAGGTTAATCTGTTGATGTTTCCCGTTCTGGTGATCTACATTAATTTCTGCAAGGGTAAAGCTAGTTTACATTATGTGACAGTGTAGGAAACATTGTCACTGAAAGAAGGATGTAGAGCTTGCCAGAATGGTTTATTGTTTCACTTTTATGGATATGAAATTTATAGAGAGGACAAAAGTTTATTAACAAAAAACCATCAAACCTGCAAAAGAATGATATTTTGTGAACAGCTACAATGGTCAGTGCATATTCATCTGTATGCTGAGTGATGTAAAAGATTGTGGTGTTGCTGATGTGGTTAAAGTAAATACCAGGTACATGAGTATTTTTGTGTTCTGTCTCCAGCTTTAGTGTTTTTTACCATCACTGTTGGTGCTCTTTTTTTTCAAATTGAGATTTATTCATATACATACTTTACTTTTTAGTGTAAACAAACATATTTTTCAGAATTTAGCATGTTATTTACCAGAAAGTGGTTAGTTACATTATTGAAATTCACATTTTAGATTCATGTACAGATCATTTCCTGTTAAGCAGGTTAAATGAAATGGCTGAAGTAAACTGTAGATGTAGAATAGTAGAAAATGCCCCTCTGAAATATTCAAGTTCTGCTTAAAATACAAAAGGGTCCAAATATGATATTTATATTTGTGAACTCTTAGATTTTTAAGATGTATGACATGTAACTAATGAAATCTTTGTGAATTTGTATTATGTAAATCCTAAATGTGAAAAATGTGATTGTGTAAATAAAAACTTAACAGTTTGATGAATGAAGTATAGATTGTTTTTTCATTGATTTTCAATTGTGAAATGTTTAAAAATGCTGATGAATCGGCTATAAGCTTGTAATTTTTCATGCCATCTAGCAGTTGTATGAAAATGTGATAATTGCTTGCAAGACATGTACCTCACTGTCTGAAATCAGGTTTTTTATGATTTATAAATTATGATTTGTATGTTTTGAAAATGTAATGGGGAAGCAATACAGGTAGTAAACCCAATTATAGAAGAAAAAGACACTGAGAGGTAAGTGGTGGAGTGCCTATTGTGAAAAATAAGCATTACACATGTGTTCTCTGACAATATCACAAGACTGGTATTCTCTGACAATATCACTACACAGGTGTTCTCTGACAAAAACATTACACAGGTGTTCTCTGACAATGTCACTACATGGGTGTTCTCTGACATCACTACACAGGTGCTCTCTGACAATGTCACTACACAGGTGTTCTCTGTCAATATCACTACACAGGTGTTCTCTGTCAATATCACTACACAGGTGTTCTGTCAATATCACTACACAGGTGTTCTGTCAATATCACTACACAGGTGTTCTGTCAATATCACTACACAGGTGTTCTGTCAATATCACTACACAGGTGTTCTCAGACAATATCAAAACAGTTGTATCAGAGCTTTATTTGGAACTGAAGGTGGACTTTTTTTGGGGGTGGTAATTGTAAGTCTATATCATGAACTTGATTGTCAGTATTATCTTAAGGTTAATTTGGTATCTACTTATACCACAATGTGTATAATGATATACACCACATTTCCTAACTCTAAACACAATGACCAAATGCTGATTGAGCATTTCAACAAGGTACATGAAGCGAAGATCCATTCTGTAATAAAATGGTACCTTTAAGTTCTATTCTATACATTTTATAAAGACCTTTGATTAATAAGTATTACTCCATCAATCCAAAGCACTTTCCAGTTAATTGGCTATTTACAGTGTTATTGAAGAACAAGTCGCTGCCCTTCCACCCTCATTCATTAGTGACATAAGTATTGTGTGTATATATTTTTTATCTGGACAGTATGTATGAATTTTAAAACATTTATTATAATTTTCATATTTAACATTGATATTCAAACCCTTGTAAATGTATTTGTCTAGATATGGTTTGGGATGGACAGTATATTTTTGTTGTAGAACCTTGATATTTAATAATGTTTTTAATCCCATATAGTCGTTAGAATAAAATGCAGTTTACAAGAAAGCACCATCTTTGTTTTGTTTATGAATTATCTTATGTTGCACAAAATCTATTTTAAGAATTTAGGGGAATAAGATTTTTAGGTAGCTTGAAACAAAGTCTCATGTTGACCTATTGCCAATCCCATTTTGTCGGGCGTTGTACATCCACAAAGTTACAACATTTTCAACTTCTGGAGGGAAAAAAAATTTCAGTGATAACTTCTCTGACCTAAGGGGAATCAAAATTTTGAATTATATGATTCCTGTCTCTAGGGGTAATATTGACGCCAGTTTCAAAAACGCATTCTACACCCAGATGTGGTAGAATCGAATGTGCTGCATTGATGGAAAGGTCTTAAGGTGTTTTGTGAAAATTCAGTACCTCACATTTCCCCCTGGGGCGGGAATAATGTTAAATGTAGTTTGTATAGGAAAATTAAATTTTTGAGCACAATTTCTTTCATTTTTATCGGAAATATTTCAAACTTGGTTAGAATTATAAATGTTGGTTGACGGTGGATGGTATGCGTATATTTACCTTGGATGACCCCAGAGGTTTCAACATATCGCTAAGTCTTCTAATTCTATCATCAATTTCGCAATTTCTTTTTATGGCACTTGAAAGCTCCTAACGTTAAGATGTATCCTTATAATCTTTGTATTGAATACTGTTTGTCTCAGTTGACTGTCAAGACCACTAGAAAACTTGTTAGGTCACCTCAGCCAAAGGCACAAAGGCACATGACTGATTGTTGTAGCCTTTTCTCCGTCGTCGTCCGTCAAGTTTTGCATGTCAAGCTCCTTCTCAAAAACACTGGGCCGATTCTAACCAAACGCGGCCAGTGTCATCAATACGTGAAGGGATATCAAAGGGCCGGTTTCCCTTCTCTGATTCAAATTTCCTGTTGGTGGTGCATTGCCCGTGCCGTTGTAGTCACAAATCTATAAAGTATAAAGATTTAGGTCACTTGGTTTGTTTTTTATGGCTCCTCAAAGTTGTACCTTTCAGAAGCTGTCTAAGTATTGATAAAATGTGCATGTTATGTAAAATATTAATGAAAATCTAATCAAATGATAGTCACCGTAAAGAATACATTCATAGCATGATTGTGACAAAAAATCATGTTTCCATCGCGCCATTTGGCTGTTTTATGGAAGAAACAATCTCAAAAATGCCATTTTCGATAACATTTTATACACAAAAACTGTTTTTTTTAGAGAATACACCCTTTTATGGGCATCGGATGCAAACCAATTTTTATCCTATTAAATAGTACGTAAGATGCTATTGATGAGAGGGAAAATCATCAAAATGTAAGTGGTGGAACATTTTCAAATGTTGGGTTGAATTAGCCTATGGTTGAATTGCCGATTTTCGACTTTCTTTAGATAATTAACAAAAAAAACGAGAGTATTTGCTCGGTATGTTGAGAATATGTACACAGATATGAAAAAGAAGTGAGAGAAACACTTTTTCATAAAAAAATCCAAGATGGCTACTTCGCAAGTAACCGTGGTTGAAGACATTGGCTGACAAATAGACAGAACAACAAACAAAACGTGTTCCTTATGATTTTGGTTGGTTTTCGCATTTACGGGATTGTTCATAGCTACCGGCGATTGTATAATACCTATATATAAGTTTGGTTAGTCACATGGTAACGGGGATCTTTCATATCGAGCCCCAAACATACTTTCGACATATGCACTCTGTTGCCGCATGGAAAACTATTTCAAGTTTTGTCGGAATTTCTTTACCTGTGGTTGTAATGGTCGAGGGTTTTCCAGCGTCCTGTAATACCCAAGGTAGTACAAGATACTTGGGGCCTCAACATCGGGTGAAACGGTGAACCGTATCCAAACGTTATATTTCGTTTGGCTTTTGTGTCGAGAATGTATTTGACATCGGAGAAGGTCTTGGGA